ACAGGTTATGGGCCCAGGCACATATCTGTGTAGTGAGAAAGTTAAAGTGATCGCAATAGTATTAGTATTTCTCGCTTCGGTAACGGGTTGCCGGCTTGCACGTGAAGTCGTGAAAGATCTTGTTAAGATCGGACAAGACAGGACGATAACAATAACGAAATGGAAGGGAATCACAATTCTATTAGATTGGAAGGATCCAACAATTGGAACGTGTGAAAGTTCCAGACACAGGTGCTATTGAGAAGCCAAGGATTGATGGACATCGTTGAGGGACGGTCGGACGCGGAGGAAGGCAGGGCTAAGTCAGATGCCAAAGACGCCAAAGCACAGTCGATAATAGTGTCCAGGATGACCGAGAAGGCGATGCTGCACATCTTAACATGCAGTACATCCGCAGCAATGTGGACCAAGCTGATGAGTGTATACGAGCAGAAATCGGAGACAAGTATACATACAGGGTGGAAACGATAAGTGATCTCACTCGATTCAAAGTCAAAGTCAAAGTCAAAATTTCTTTATTTGTTTAGACTAATAAATAGTTCTTACAAATCGTCATTTTGCTCTTAAGGAGCCTCTACATNAAGTACCCTATTGCTTCCCGTTAAATATTAGCATTTGAGAAATGCGGCGTCGTGACCGACGTCATCTGTCCCCGGAGGCAATGTTTACATAAAATTAGCGGGTGTAGCAAGACCTATTATTTGAAATGAGCGCGTTCAGAATGAAAGTGAGGGCGTTCGCATTGTTGAAGTTAGAGATCTTAATAGAAACCAGCGAAAAGGCAGCGGCGTGCGCACAGCGCGCTTTGTTGCCGCGAGCGAGCAAAAACGTGAGGCGGGATGTAGGTCGCGGCAAGTGCACGATGCACGCACCCACTCTGCGTCATTCCCGCAAAAAATGTCACCAAAAGGCTTTTCGTGACATTACCTCTACGTATCAGAAATACGGATTTAATGAGATGTCTATTACACTTCGCTACGGTCGTCACGATCACCGTTAAATAACTCACGACCTTCTTCTAAAACCTTCACTTATTTCAAGTTATTGGTACCTTTATTACATAGGCGCATTTTTGTAATTTTGTTTAAATACTCAATGCTTGTAGTTCGTTGAAGTCTTTTCTTAGGACGGTTAACAAATTACGTGTAAAAGGCAGTAATTTTATGAAAATTACTACAAACAATTTGATAAATAGAAGCTCCAATTTATAAGCCATAGCTACACCAATACACCACCACCATACAACCATCGTAAAGTCCTGAAAGTCTGGAACGTCTTTGATATATTTCATCCAAACTATGCATTTAACCAGTAAATCATTCGCTAAAGGTTTCTTACCTGCCAAATTGTTGGTCTACCTTATACCTAGTTACCAAATATTGAATTCTCTTTGTTCCCTCGTTTGCGCTCAAATGCCATTTGTATGTCAGTCGTGTCACGCTTTTGCGTTTGGGCTTGGGCCTTGTTGTGGTACATAACTTCGTAGTTAAATTTCACGATAATTTGCGCTGTTAGAAATATGTTTTGAAACCCGACTTGAGCGTCTAATGGAGCTTTGTAAACAAACGCACACGTTGTAACTTTCGCAATACGGCAAGCTTTGTATGCATCAATAAAATATAAAAGCAAAAGCCATGATAATTATGTGTTGCAATGTGGGCGAGCGGTGTGCAGAAAATCTTCGTTATATACAAAACATTAAAGCTTAGGTACTACTCGTATAGCTATTTAGCGTAAAGCTTCATGGAAAATTCTTTGTTAGTTCTCATAATAGGTCTCCTAAATAGAGCTACACACACATAGTAGTTAGGTGCATTTAGTTTTTGACATGAAGGTAAGGTAAGCTTGGTAGGTATCTTGGCATCAATAGCAATTAAATAGTAATAACAACTTTCTGACCAATGTAATGGATACATTTTCTCTATCCGATCTGACATTCAATTATCGGAGTAATTTCAAATTAAATCCATATTGTACAGTCCAGCGCATTTGTTGACGCAACAAATATCTGATTTCTTGCCATTTGATATTAAACACCAGCATAGTGTTTCGATCTACAGACTGTTTCAACACGGCAACGAAACTATCATGATCACAGAGCTCTGCGAAATTGTAACAATTCGCTACTTCAGGTCAATTACCTGGTCTAGGACAGCGCAACTGAATTCATGCCAAATAGTTTTTTTTACTAAAACACGTGATTGGAATTAAAAGTTTTTAAAATTCGCCATTCGATTTATTTAATTAAAGAAATACTTAATTGACCGTAAAGCTCGTAACTAATCAATAGTACGGATTGACACGTCTATTAGTTAGCAGGAATACCTACTACGAATAGTTTCTTAGGAAGGATGACCGATTTAAGCTTCATTTTCAGAAGAAAACCAAACAATGTGTTTTATTAATTTTACAGCTGAGGCAACACAAGCTATTCACAAACACTACGAGTATTCATCCATTATTTGTTGTAAAGCTCTACAATATTTGGAGCTTTTCAAAAAGTTAATTTCACTGATTTTTTCACATTCTATTAAAGGTAATGGAACTTTAGAAGTATCCTCCGACCTTAGCACATACATAAGTACAAAATAAGTTTATTTCCAGAAGTGAGTGCCTACATTCAAGGATGTCAACAATCTTTTTTAGCTACAATAATCACTTTTCAGACATCGTATACATTGTTACTTATCTTTCTTCGCTAAAAACTGTCTGTTAAATAACGGTCAAGTTGTTGCTTATGTGGACAGAGGCAGGTGTCGTAAACACCCGGAACGTGGTAGATTAGAGTCGGTAATGACTAGGAAGCACATTTCTGTCTGGCTTCAGTGAAGATTTGGGTCTAAAGGGCGTCACACAGACGACGTTCACCGGTGCCATTTTTGCACAAAATTGCAGTTTTAGTGGGATTAGTACCACGCCATATGTATCACTAAGCTGTTTCAGTAAGTAAGTAAGTAAGTAAGCATTTATTTACTGCACACAAAGTCACATACATAGTTCGACAAAATAACATAATACAATATTTAACATGCACATTCAAAAATAAAAAAATAAAAAATAAATAACAATGAGAAATGAAATAATGTGAGCAGAGTTGCGGCAGCAAAAGGTCTCCGTCTCAGCATGTGTCACAAGCTAATGCCTGGACGCTGATTTTCAGACGGCGGCCGACGAAAGTGGAGAGCGGCGGTAATCGCCGCAGCAATACGCAAGGGTATTAAAACACAAATGATAAGGAAAAATTAAATAAATAAAAAGTGAAAATTAGTTAATGTCAAAATGATATATTAAATTATGTAAAATTAAATGTCAGGAATAGGATTAGCAGGTCAGTATTATAAATAATGTCAAATTAGAGGGGTCGACTACACCTGGCCATTAGAGATTTTTTGGAATGCCAGTATGTGCTTTTTAAGTTTACTTTTAAAAGTAAACTTGGTCATAGCTTGCCTAATGGGTGGTGGAAGGTTATTCCAGCACTTCGTAGCCAGGTACCTAAAACTTCCTCTAAAAGCAGCAGTTTTGTGCTGTGGTATGGAGAGCCTCCAAGATTTACCACGAGTGTTAAAAACTGAGTCAGAGTGTTTCCAATTTAAGCTTCCCAAAAAGATATTCAGGAGCCCCGCTGTTCACAACTCCAAAAAGCAAACAGGCAAAGTGCAGGTCGCGTCGGGATTTCATATTGAGCAAGTTGGCTTGGTTGAATGAACGGTGTAACATGCGTCCTAGGCGGGACGTGCATGGAAAACCTTATGCATGCGTTTTGGACACGCTGCAAAACTCGATTAGAGCGCTCCAACAAACATGGCCCAAAGACTGGAAGGCAATAGTTCAACTTGGAGAGAACAAGCGTTTCGGTGAGTTTTAATCTAAGATCCTGACTGAGCTCATCACGAATCCTGTACAGAGTCTTCAGCTTATATAAGCAATTCCTAGCCAATGCATTGACATGATCCTCAAAGCGAAGACCAGCGTCATAAGTAACACCCAGGTTTCTTGCTGTCCAGACCCTCTCAATCGGCTGCGCGTTGATTTTTAAAAGGGGGTTAAGGCCTTCCACAGTTTTAATTTGCCTACTTGTTAAAAATATCATAAATTTGGATTTTGTGGGATTGAGTGTGAGTGTGTGACTCTCGGCCCACGAGTTAATCCTGTCCAACTCGGAGTTAAGCTCACCGACGGCCCTGCAAGTATCACTTGGGTCAAATGACAAGTAAATCTGGAGGTCGTCAGCATACATGTGGTAACGACATGTCTTCAATACTTGTGGCACGTCTGCGCTATATAAAATAAAGATAAGTCTACTTAGTAAATTAATTAGACAACTTTCGAATACTTTCGATGACTTTTGAAAAAAGTATCATGCTAATGAACCTGCACACATTTGAAGTCGACAAAGTTCAGTCAGTGCCTACTGCTTACCCACGGTCGCTTTTAATGGTTGCTTTCATTTATTCAGTGTTAATATACAATGCCTAATTTTGTAACGCTGAAAAGATGCATCGAAGATATGAGATCACCTAATTTCTCAACAGTCAATGAGCTCGCTGTGAAACAAGAGCACTTCTGTTCAAATGTGCTTTGACATGTAAAGCGTGATGTAACTTCTTAAAGAAACACTTGCGTAGTACCTATTCGAAGCTGATTGTATTGTGAGCATCACAAAAGAAGATGAAGCGTGTCATTCAATCTTCATCATTTCTTTGACCACAACGAAATATAGGTATAGGTAGATAACTAATTTTTCCTATGCAATCATTTTGTTCGAAAACTCCTAATATCGGCATCGTAATTTAATAGATCAACAGTACAGATAATTCAACTAAAAAGACCCCATATCAGCTGTAGCTCTCACCTGTTTATTGAGTTATTGTGCATTTTTATGGACAGTTTCACAAATTCACAGCTCAGACGAAGCAGCAAAAACGTGAGAGATTTTTTTTCTTGTTTCATGTTGTTCTTGAAAGTGATGAGTAATGATCCCGTTTTCTTTTAGCTCGGATACGGATGGTCGCACAGCGGGAGGCGATGTGCGCGCCACCGGCCGCCGGAGTCGACGATGTCGGTGAGCAGCGACATACGGTTCACGAGGCGCAAGCTCAGTCGGCCCTGCCGCGGATGCTGCGCCGCGCTGGCGTCGCTGCTGGTGCTACTCTTGCTGGCAGCCGTCGCGGTCTACTTAGGACGTATGTGTACCGTTCGTTCGTTTCAGCCGAAAGACGTCCACTGCTGGACAAAGGCCTCCCCCAAGGTTTTCCACAAAAATCGGTCCTGCGCCACTCGCATCCAGGCACCTCCCGCAACCTTCACCAGATCGTCGGTCCACCTAGTGGGAGCCCTGCCCACACTACGTCTTTCGTCTCGTGGCTCCGCTCGTAATAATTAATACTAAATCAGACATTAATTAATTTTAAAACCGGGCTGCTGACCGAGACTATTGATTTTCTATTCTACTGACAAGCATAGCGAAGCGCGAATTTGATACGGTGGAATATATAACTGCGTAGGTATTTACAAGAACTTAAGTAAGTAATAAAATATGATACGGCGTTTTCCTTTTGATATCTCAAGAAAAATTGTATTGTAAATTGAAAGGTTATTTAAGTTTTAGGGATACAAGATAATGCTTTCTATATTTTGAACTACTACGAGTATTTTGTCCTTCCATAATGAATTGATAAAGTGCACAAGCTCATCAAATGCAGTACTGCCAACGCATACCTTTGTTGGTAAACACCGAGGCAGACAGGTGAGAGGGGTCAATAGAGTCTGCACACACGGCGAGAGGACGTGGGCAGGCGAAGTGGTCAGGCCAGGGAGCTTACTCTGAAAACCGACTTCAATATACACCGCTATGCATCTCTCTCACCTATAATGCCAGCATTCCTAGGCGAGTGAGACGGATAGAATCGAATAACAACTCAGTTTCGCGGAGATAGGACTGTAGAGTCGGTAAGGCCTGCGGGTGACGGCAGCGGCCTTGCGCGATCCGAGCGACAAGTGCGCTGATAAATACCACTACTTACTTAGTTTGTAATTTTAGATCGTATCGTTTCTATTATGATCTTATTATTAAATAGCTTAAACATTTGGTAACAACAAAATAGGTAATTAGTATCAATCAACGCGACTGAAAAATGGAGGACAACAAACACTCTCTAGTTCAATAATGATTAAAAAAAGTTGTAAACTTATTAACTTTTTTTCCATACAAGTTAGTAAATGCATGTTCAATATTATTGTTAAAGATAAATATTGCAACTTAATAGTAGTGACTTTAAGTTTAACCTGTGGTTTAACTAAGTAGGTACTTATCGACCTAAAAAGTTCAACTTCAATAATGCAACATAGATTAACATCTTTTCATGACATCTCGTATTTCCTTAAAATACGTGTTACATCAAGCTTGACAAATTGTTTTTCTTCCAGACATGTACCTGTTCGGTGACCCGCTAAACCGGCAGACATTCCGGGGCTCGTTCGTGGTGGGCTCGTGGGGGGAGCGCCCCGAGGGCAGGGACCTGCACAACGACACGAGGGAGGCGCGCCTGCAGAGGGCGCTCGTCGATTTATATCAGGACTCCGAGCTTCGCTCGTGTTTTGTGTCCGCCGAGATCCTCGCATTAGATAAGTGAGTCAATGACAATCTTCATTTCAATTATCTTCAAAGCCACAACAAATGATAACGTACGCGAACGAAGCAAAAACGTCCACGCGTGTGAAATTGATGAATAGCTGATCTAAGAGACATCTCTTAAATCACGGAAACCATCACATATTGTACGTGACAAACAAGTTGCCTTAACTCATACAATCCGCATAAGCACAAAAAATTACAGCAGACATTTTAAACAATTTGTTGTGTTACTTTACTGTCGTAACCCAACGAAATAGTATAACCTACATTTCAAACTGTAATTTAGTTGTAGGTATTCTAAACATTTCATATTTTAAGCACATTTGAGACGGTTTAAAAGTTAAATTCAAGAATGGCCGTTGGTACGGCTAGTTACCTCATTGAGACTTACGTAAAACTGCTCTTATTTCGAATCTCTAAATTGTTTGTTACGATGCTTGTTTTAGCATAAAATTGATCGCGAGCCACAATTTATTTTTGTTGTGCGTGTCTATATCTAGGTACTTGGTCTAAAACAATGTTTTATATTGTTATGAACTTACTACTTGAGTAGTTCCGCAATACAAAAACTAGTTTTTGTATCTCATAAACTTTTTCATCTTAGTATTTGAAGTTCAAAGGCACATAAGTTACGCTTTTTCATGGTCACCAGAGTTTGCTGTGTCTGGTCACGAACGAAACGAGATCACTTAATCTACATCCATGATAGAATTAGCATTTGATTTCCAATGAATTGTTAGATCACGCGTTTAAGTAGTGCGATATGAAATCAAGGTAAAGGTTTCATGGCCCTAAGTGGGACTAGAACAAAGGCGACAGTGCCTTATCGGTTCTTTATGGAGAAAGCGAACTTTCACGGAAGGTATACATTTACCTATAGACAGACCAGACCTTCTTAGTCAGGGTAGAATGCGCATTGTGAGAAAAGCTGCAATATTGTATTACATAGTTACTTAGAATAGTAAAACACGCCGAAGGAAATCTATGAAAATTATACCTACTGTTAATAAAGATTAAGGGTTAAAGCTATATTTTAATTTAACTACATGGTGTTTAGCGGCTTAGAGAAAGTTCAAATCGTTTTAATAGTGTAAAACAATAAAAGGACTTTAACAGAAGTCTAATCAATTTCATGCTTTGTCACACTCACAACTTCATCACGAAATTGATTTTGTTTGACCATTCGCTATGTAGCGAATACTAGCTTTAAACTATTTACCTACCTACTTCAAATTAACTACTGCATATTTTAACATAAGGTGATAAATTAAACCGTATCAGGTATTTCGATCTAAAACAAATCTTGCAAAATATAACTTCTATCAAAACTCAGGCACCGTAAAATCATAGAAATTAGAAAGTGACTGAAATTATACATACCTAATTTATATTCATTAAATGTTGTTCACTAACATGAAAAACTACATACAATATGCACGGGTGATACAGTGGAATATAATGTACTGATATAGAAAGTTCGATACGTGTTTTGTTTAAAATCCTTGCACTTTCTATGCGGAGTGCGTTGTTGCACTGAACCACATTGCCATAAAGTACTAAACGATCCCGACAGTCGATGCTCAGGGCCCTCTTCTGAACTGAATGCCAATCACGCACTCGATACATTCAATATACACGTTACAGGATGTAAAACCTGCACTTGAACTCAAAAGGAATTAGTTTATGTACGAATACGTTGTACAAATTATGACCAGAGGCCATTCGGCATTCCTCTCTATATCCATATAAGTTCCTTTTCCTTGTATGTTTAAGGCACTTGGAAAAGTTGGCATTCAGTAAAAAGGCAAGTTTCCAAGCTTACCTACCAACTTGAAAGTGGTCTATTGCCTAGAATTAAAAAATTCTGCTTTCGCAACATCACAAGTGATTAACGTAGTTAAGTAAGTAAACGGATTTCTTGGATTAGCCGTTTTAGTTACTGGATAGGGACAAACAAGTTTTTAAATGCAAGTTTCGAATAAGACGCGATGAGTAGGTACTCCAATTTAATTAAGATACCTACAATCTCTTTTCAAGTGTAACGTGTGGAGACGTATTAGATGTCCCCGTACCTACACTTTCTTCCTCGCTTTTAAGACAACCTTTCCAAAAATGCTTCAAAAGTTGATCGGCAAGAAGTAGCCCAAGAATAGCATCTGCCGCATGAGCAGTACTTACTATGATCTGCTAGCATCTCCCATTAGGTACATTGTCAATTTGTCATACTTAACTAATTTAAACGCCAAAAACAAAAGATCACGCTTTCGCGAGGCCTATAGGATGTGGGCCGAGTTTTAATTTAACAATCAATGGGGCATTAATCGTTCATTAAACGTCAATCAAATGTTTTATCTAGCTTTGGAATCTGTATAGTTGCGTAGGAGCCTTGGTTTTTGCGGTTGTCAATTACGATACAAAGTGATATTAATTTAAATGGATAGATTTAACAATATTATCATTATTAACTTACAATACATAATATCATAGATAGCTGCAAAAAGCCGCAACTTTTTATACATGCCGGTAATCGATGGAGCTTAGTGAGTAGGTATACTTACATACCTAGAAACTTTGATTGAAAGATTCAAAACAACTAAATATTTGATAAGTGGACTGTTTGCATTTCACAAGATTTTCTAGATTTTCCGATAAGTAGGTACAAGGATTTCATTAAGCAGTTGGCGCACACGGCGAATTTTTTTATAAATAAAATGTCATACATACTGTTTTTAGCGTGGAAGAAGGCGAACGGGTCCACTTCGAGGTATCGTTCGAGCCGATCTTCACGGCGGTGACGACGGGCGAGGTGGCCGCGGTGCTGTCGCGCGAGCTGGCGGCGCCCACGCACCTGCAGCTCGTCTCGCTGCCGGAGACGCTGCATATTGAGGTTGGCCATTATTAATTGTGTCTAATAGAACAAATTAGCAAGCGCAAGGCATATAGAATCTATTAGATATGGAAGGTAGAGCGACCTATAGAACATAATCAGCGAAAATCGGCAACTGTTGATCGTATCTATTCAAGTACCTAATTATCGTCACATTATCTCTCTTTCAGTAGCTTTACATCCTATTTCACATTAAGTACCTGCTGGGAAAAATAACGCCGACATCATCTTCATTCCTCAGGAAAATTCTGTAATATCTTCCCTTGAATTGGAAAACACCGAGACAACGCTCGATGATGAACCGACGACAGAAGCCATGACGACTGAGGTGGAAGAAATCAGCAAGTGCTACCCGAAGACGCTGTCGATATGTTCCCACTTGCCATACAATACGACCACTTACCCCAACCTCGTGGGACACACGTCCAAAGACGCCATTTTGAGGGACCTCGTCGCGTTCAGGGAGCTTTTCGATGCTGAATGTTCTCATCTTGCTCAGGTAAAGTTTCAGTTTATTTTACAGAAACTAAAAACATTTATGTTTTTATACTTAAAACTGAACCATAAATAATATGCTGAACATAAGATACCCATGGAATTGTAGGAAAGGAAGAGGTAAAAATCCTACCAGCTGGATTTCCGCAATTCCTTTATGGAGGAAATGTAGAGAGTTCATTTTGTTCGAAACCCTATATCCATATGTACCAAGATCAAAGGCATAACATTATCTCATTAGAATTCGTTACCAAATGATAAAATAGCCTATTGATTGTTTACCTTCTACCTATCTATCTCCAGGACTTCGTATGCCAAATGCTGCAGCCTCGCTGCGACCTAGGCCGGCTGGTGAGACCCTGTCGCTCGTACTGCCGCGCTTTCCACGCGGGCTGCGGCGCGCGACTCCCCGAGCGGTTGCGGGCCTATTTCGATTGCTCGCACTTTCCCGACTACTTCGGGCCCGGGTCTTGTATGCCAGAACCAGGTAACTACAATACTTCGGTCTATCATCGTGATATCAGATCAATAGAATCTGTTTTGAAAGAAATGTTGTGCTAAGTGTTACAACAAACAGAGATACCTCAATATATCTAGGGCCCAGAACAGACGGTGAAACGCAACTGCAATGAAACTGCAACTGCTAGTTACTTTTGTTTGCGTTGCATCTAATTATAGTGTCCGTTGAGAGACCACACATGACGCGACTAGTTTGAAACTTTCAGTTTCAGTTTCATTCATCATACCTAATCATCAGAAAGTTGCAGTTTCCTTGCAGTTGCGTTTCACCGTCTGTTCTGGGCCTAACAGTTCTACATGTATCTAGCGCTGATGTTTTAAGTATGGTAAAGGGTAAACCTGATAACTAACCATATCCACAACAAATACAAATTTTACGGTGTTGACGCAGTAACTTATTTTTAGAGATAACAAAAGTCAGTGTCTATTTAGTTGTAAGTGTGATTGATTTTACTAAAGCAGCACAAAATAGCACGCTTTGAAATGTAAGAATGTATTGTACCTAACTACGTAGGTTTTTATATTGTTTCCATTTACTAAGCTTAACGAATCCATCGTAAGTCACAGAACCGATTAAAGTAAAGAAGCGTGGAAAGGCCTTGAACGGCTTGACTAAATTATGCGTGCCTGAAATTTTTCGTGAAGAATTTATGAAATAAGTTGGTTTAGTAGATATAAATTCCAAAGAAATGTAACAATGTGTCTTGAAAAGTAAAAGTGGAGTTTACCCTAAATTATGTTTTTTGTTACGTATTTATGACACTGCTTTGCACTTTAGCTCTTTCGTAATAAGATAATTAAAACGAGAGTCTCTTACACAAATAACTTATTTAAGACATGACGTGTAATCGCCTAATTGAATTCGTCAAGAAGAACATTACTTACTTACTTAGTTTGAATAGACTACTCAGTCTACTCAGTGGGCTATTCAGTCCAATTTTGTGTAGAGTAAGTTGATTGTTACCCAGTAGTAGAATTTAGAGTTTTAAATAACATCGTCTCTCGACTTTTTTTGTTTTTATGTGAACTAAATCGAGACTATCACTGAAACAACTGTGTAAAAGGTACTTTTACCACAGAATAATAACTACGCTTTTACGTACGTTTCTCAGATTGCCTGGGAGGTCTGAACCGGCTGGCGCTATCCCGGCGCGCGTGCGACGGCATCCCGGACTGCGCGGACGCAGCGGACGAACGCGGCTGTGCGCACTGCGGCGCCGGCGGCGGGCTGCGCTGCGCACTGCACCCGCACTGCCTGCCCTCGCACTTGCACTGCGATGGAACACCAGACTGCCCTGATGGCAGCGATGAAGTCGGCTGCTGTGAGTGACCACACGTTATTTTTGCCTTATAACCACACTATGGTAATAACCGTTTAATTGTAGCTGGCATTCTAGCTGTTGATCTAGGGATACACCAGAACTTTTAGCAGTGAAAACGAGAGTTATGGTACTATTCCCACCGCTGCAACTCCAGATGTAGCCGGGATCTACAGCTTAACCGCCAATAAAAATCCAAGCAGTGAAACAAGAGTTGGAAATGAAAATGATCTTGATGCGCAGTTTGCGCGTGTAACCACAGAATAATAATAAGTACTACCCTGTTCATCTCGGCGAGTTTACATCGAAAACAAAACACGCACGATGGCCCACCTACAGGATACTATTCGACAAGGCCTCACATACGAGCGAACATTGACTCACGCACGCGTATTCTTGTGTATCATACACAAGAATAGAAGTATAGAAGTGTTTTGTTTTCGATGTAAACTCGCGGAGATGAACAGGCCTGGTGTAACTGTCAGCAACACACTGCCGATGCGACAATCTGGCTTCGTGCGTACTGTAATCGCAATTCCTGTACCCTAATATCCTGATCAGATAGCAGATCGAGAAATTAGAGCAAGTTAATTTTCGCAGAGAAAAGAAACTGTAGATTATGGCTCTTCAGGAGAGGAAGAGGTGAGGTCATTACCACAGAAAACTAGTAGTCTAATCTCTCCTCGCCCTTTTTTTCAAGGCTTGGTCTTCAGTGCTTACCTAGAAACTACTAAATCTCTATCCACAGTATGGATCACGCGATCGCTAGCAGCATGGCGGCGCGAGCGCGGCGAGGCGACTCTGGGCGCGGTGCGAGGACGCGGCGGTTACGCGGTGTGGTCGGAACGCGGCCGCGACGGCAAGATATGCGCCGCGCCCTACGAAGCCGACAAGCGCGCTCTCAAGAGCGTCGCCACTTCTCTCTGCAGGGCTATGAGTTTTAGGTAAGCATCTAACCCCTTTAATCACAAAAATTAATAAGAGGGTACATAATTATAGGTGACTTGGGACAATACCTACTCAAAAGGAATTAATTTAATTAAACTTACATTACATTATTAACTATTAACCGCCTTTATGGTCTAGTGGTAAGACCACCTGCTTCATACGCAGAGGTCCCGGGTTCGATTCCCAGTGGGGGCAGATTTTTCTGTCGTCTTGGTTGGTGGTAGGGCTTGTTCTCAGTCCGCCTGGCGAGCTACCACCATCTTACCTAAGCCTGCCGCCATAACAACAATGTTAAAAGCATTGTTGTGTTCCGACCGTTAGAGGTAAGATAGCCAGTTCCTCCGTGGTTGAGGATTCCGGATGAAGCTGAATTCCACCTTCGGCCTGATCATCACAGACCATTAGGTGAGATACAGACCAAGAGCTACCTCGTTAAGATAAAAAAACTAGACAAGTTAATTAAAATCTTAACATTTTCGTAGCAAACGTCTAACTCGTTTATGTCTTTTGTTCGACACATTGTTCATTGACGATTAATGTTGATTAATATTTTTAATTTTAGCGCTGCATTGAATGTGGAGGTGGTATCTGATGCCGAAGAATTGAAGAGTGAGCATCCAGAATACGTAGAAGTGGTAGATCCCTTCGCGCCAGAAATATCGTTTCTGAAGAGCGAATGTCCGCAGCGCAAAGTCATCAAAGTTATCTGCGATCAGTTGGGTGAGGAAAACTATGCTCTTCTTCTTCTAGTTTTACATTGATTTACATCAGTGAAACTGGTCTAGGACTAGTTTAATGGCAATGTCACGACACTACGTCTAAAAGTACCTAGTGCGTCAAAATACCTACTTTACAGAATGTGGCATCCCAAGCGCTCGAGTGGCGCGCGCGCGTAGTGGCGTGGAAGGCCTGCCTCGTTCCGCACAGCCCGGCGACTGGCCCTGGCACGCGGCGCTGCTGCGCGCTAACGTGCACGCCTGCGACGCCGCGCTCGTGCACGCGTCATGGCTGCTAACTACTGGCTCCTGCTTCCAGGTTGTTCTCTTGAAATCTAATTCGATCTCCCTAGGTTGATCTGTAGGCTTAAGATGCGCGCTGCGATAAGCGGTTATCACGCTATTTTATCAATTTTTCCCATACATTTTGACGTCGATAAAAGTTATCACGGCGCGTATCTTAGGCCTACTGATCGAAAAACAGTGTACAGTTAGATGCAGGCCCCTCTTTCCCACTAGGCAGTTTGGCACGTGCCCAGAGCCCCGCAATCGAGGAGGCCCCCGTCTGTTCTCATAAAAGATCTTTTTCCAGATGAGAAGGCCCTCCCTTGATTCTTATGTGCCCAGGGCCCCTAGGAGGGTAACGACGGACCTGGTTAGATGAATGAGATTGAATACTTATTCAAAATAATGTGCTAAAATGTACTTTTTAAATCCCTATCTGTTCGAGATTAGGATTCACAGACACCCTCGCTTGCTGCTCGTATTTAGAATGCTTATAGCCTCATTCGACATTTTTCTATATTATCAGGGTCAACCCAACGTGGAATGGATTGCCAGATTTGGCACGGTGCGCATACAGAGCACAACACCGTGGCAGCAGGAGCGGCGCGTCGCAGAAGTGATCCCTTCCCCCGTCGAAGGCAGCATGCTGGCCCTACTGCGCCTTGAGAAACCCGTGGAGATGACCGACTTTGTACGTCCCGTATGTCTACCGGAGAACACCACCTCCGCCGACCACGCCATCTGCAACACGCTGAGCTGGACACGGAATAGAGACCAGCTCCAGAGAGTGCAAGTGATCACTAGTCCGATGAACAAATGCGAGAACGTCAGCATTGCAACTGTCAACGGAATTTGTTCAGAAAGACTTTACGACAGTGATGATTGCGATGTAAGTTAAACAGCATCTAATTGCAAAATTATCAACCAATATTACTTACTATCCATTATTCTAATAATAACCGTTACATATTTTGCAGGAAGAAGAATACGCTGGAAGTTCCATGATGTGCTTTGACGAGAAAACGAAGCACTGGTCTCTAGTTGGTGTAAGCGGGTGGCGAATAGCCTGCTCAAAAATAGGGCTTGGCCGGCCTCGAATATATGACTCCATTGCTTCACACCTTGACTGGATCAAACAATCTATATCCCACTATCCAAGGTGACCTTTTAACAACTGAAGCTTCTGTAAAGACTGCATTGTTATTCTTAATTGTTAATTTAATAATACAAAATTTGTATGATCAAGTATTGATAAGAAAATAGTTTGTCAAACTTAAACAGGTGGTGAAGAGGTTGAGAGGTAACACTTGAGATGATGCAACAATATTTTATAAATGTTATAAACTCTGTGACGAGATTTATCTGCAGACAAAAATAATTAATGTTAGGTATCTATACAAATTCAATAAGAGCAGAGGCAAGAATAATCATTATTCTTGAATTGAAATAGGTATACCTTCAATAAATTGGTACAGAATTATTTTTTCTTGTTTATGATAGCAATATCTAAAACTGTGAAGTAAAGTAAGTAACAAAATAACACTGGAGTCTCAGAGTGAGTTATGAAAAAATATTACCCTCACAAGAACTCACAAGGCATCTAATCCAGTCATTAGAAAAAAATCCTATAAAACAACACACAGTTGAAAATATCACCCTGTATATTTAATTAATATGATGTTATGTTTACATGTTTAACTGTAAAGTTTATGCCTTGTTAATTACTAAACTTATGCAAATTACTATGATTTTTATTGTAGGATAAGATAATTTATTTCAAAATTGTGTCACTGGAGAAAATATCCACTTGGATTCTAATTAGATGAATAAGTTGCAAATGTGTTCGAAACTAAATAAGTAGGTAGGTATCTGTTAATTTTCATTTCTATGAAAAAGAAATTTGTAAATATAAATATAAGAAAATTTACCAAAATTAATTGCCAGATAAATGTTTGTACCTAAATGATGTGGATTTTTATTGAGCTTGCAATGCCAAGCTTACCAAACTGATCCTAGAGTAGTGAGCTAGTGAGTTACACCTTGATGCCCAGTTTTAGCTATACTTCTAAAAATATTCAAGAAAGGTACATATTAACACTTTTGTGTTAAATTATTTGTACTTTTTTGCTTTAATTTTGTAAAATGTTCCCTTCCTACCATGTTAACTTTATCAGACTAATATAAGATTTAACCAAAACTATCTTGATGGAATAATAATAGAAGCTCATATCTACTTATTGTGGTCCATCCAACTACTAATGTAGGTATTGAAGTTAATAAAACCAAGTATTGATAAAATTCAACCATTTTATTGATTTGAAATTTGAATCTAAGAAAAAGTACTAAACTATTTACACTTCTGATAACATCTTACAAATAAATAAATAAATATTAAATTACTTGAGAACACCTTCTTCCTGCAGTTCCTTTCTAATCTTGGCTTGAATGTGATCAGGGAAGTTTTTGAGTTCATTATTGATGTAATCGTTTAGGTTTTGCAGTGGTTTGTAATGTTGATGTACCAATTGAGATCCAGCTAACATGGAGAACATCGCGGCAAACGAAAACGTGAGGTACTGGCCCCAAGTCACTCCGGCAGGCATGTTAAGCAGTATGTCCAGCAGAATACTTCCTTATTTTATCTTCAACAATGTCGTGAGCTCTGCGCCTCTTGAATGTGTTATAAAAGTTGACCTCACCAACTTTCCAGTTAATCATAGAAAACTCCAAAGCTGCGCCGAGTACGAAAAACATAGGCAGAAACCTATACATTCCAAATGTTTTCTTGCCTGGCCATTTGTTGACTAGTTTTTGAATCCAGCCAATTCTCATTGCATTCGTCAATATAAATAAAACTTATTGAATTGTGTTCTGCAGTGCTTATGTTGTGAACAAAATTGTGAAATAACCTCAAACCAAAGAGCATAAAAGAGCCTCAAACCTCAAATTAGAATCACCACCAATAACTGTCAATGTCAAAACACAGATGACAGAAGTATGTTCCGAAATACAGCGAAGTGTTTCATTGCTCTCACTAGTCACTGGTGAAATTATGTTCGATCCATCATGCATCAGTGCACTGCTGGGAAAAAAAGAAAGCGTAAATCATTACCATTTTTATACTGTAAGCACTACAGAGCCCAGAGCCCCGATTACGGTAATTTTTAACGTCAACAATCCAGACACGCTTCTCGATTCTGCGATACGATTGGTCGTTCAACAGCGCACGTCAGCTGTTTTGACCAATCGTATTGCAGAATCAGAAACGCATCAGAAACGCGTCTGGATTGTAGACGTTAAAAGTTACCGTAATCGGGGCTCAGAGCCCCGATTACGGTAATTTTTAACGTCAACAATCCAGACACGCTTCTCGATTCTGCGATACGATTGGTCATTCAACAGCGTACGTCAGCTGTTTTGACCAATCGTATTGAACTGGCGCTTTCGAGGTAGGTGTTCTCAGTACTTTGATCAAGTGATAAAAAAAACAAAATACTGAGCAGTGCTCACAGTGTGTATTTCGGAACATTCCCCTCTGTGGGTCTAGACAAAGTGCAAATAATCGCAAACCAGTCGAAAAGTGGTCGAAAAGCCCCTTTTTTGTATGGAGTTTTGACGGATTCGATTTTCGATTCGATCAAAAAGTGCGTTTTGTCTAGGGGGGCCACACTCGCATGTCATTTGTCACATTTGTCAAACAACATGTGTCAAAGTCAAACGGCCCTTGCTTCGCCCTCAACATAATTAGAATTATTTAAGTATAATTAGTATAGTGTAGAAATCGAAATGAAGTAATGAACAATCATTTCTCGAAAAGAACGTATGAAAAAAATTTTTTCGAGGCCAATAAACCCACAAAGTTAACCGAAACAAGAAAACTGAAACTACACAACGAAGGATGGGGATTACTTACTGAATATTATCTGGAATCAGTTAAAATCAACAAAAATAACAATGGTACTATATCATCAATTGCTACATTGAAAATCAGTGATAGATCTGGACAAACAACTTGTTTCATAAGGGGTCCTACAATAGGCCTGCTATTTGGCTTGGAACCGTCTGAATGGTTGGAAGTAGAGAAACTTAACAGCTGGACACAGCAGTTATTTTATAGATATTTCAAACATGGACTTAAAACATCATTTAGCTATGAACAAAAATTGTTTTATAACTTTTGCCTCATTAATCAGAAAAAGGATGTTTTAGTTGCTATTTTCCACAGATGTGCTAATAAAAGAAACGTGGATAAAGACAGTGCTGTTCTTGAAATTGTAGAGCTTAGAAAATGTACTAACTATTTTTTAGATTTGTATTCAGAATCATTGAAAAGTTTGGGAAAATAAATGTAATATTATTGTACTTAAGTTATTATGTTATTATGAAATATTATTGAGCTTCTGTAATCTTGCTTGCCCATCTTTCAATCATGATTATATTTGTAAATGATGTATAATTTTTAATTAAACTATGACATATTGTAAGTTTTCCTTTATTATTACTTTCAACAGATGCATTATGGTTGATTGTCTTCCTACATCTCATCCATTTCATAAAAGTTCCTTAGTTTTTAAGTATTTTTTATTATTTATGGTATGTAGGTAAAGTTACATTACCTACATAGATTACCACTTCTAACATAATAAATATACTTAAACATAGCTGCAAATCAAGTTTAAATCTATTAACCAGTTACAACTACAACTGTACAAAACTACATAAGTGCTTAGTATGGAAAAATATTACAAAGTAAAAGTTAAAGGAAACTCCAAATTCCCCCTCCACTGATCAACTTGGAATAACAAACACTTGATCAAAGAGAGACCCTTACAATTTATCACTCTTATATTCTAGAGTTTACAAACATTTTGCAAACATATACAGGGTGGAATTTTGTAATGGCACCTGGAGGGAAAGTACTCTTAATACTGTAGATAGAACATTTTACTCAAAGGAAACATTCCTTTATTTTTGAAAAGAAACAGAACTGCATTCAAAGATTTCTCGAAAATTTTTGAAAATCCACCACTACATACACCATACCATACAATTTTCTGTAAATAATTAAAATAAATTAAGATTTTATGGTTTTCCTTTCATTTGATTTATCAAGTTTGTTAGAGAGATTTCATCCTTATACTTAACCCCAACGATCTATGCAATAAAAATACAGGGTGTAATTTTTAACAGATTTTAGTTGGTTCGATTCCCGGGCGTACCAAGCAATTTATTAGAAATCTTTGAATGCAGTTTTATTTCTTTTTAAAAATAAAGGAATGTTTTCTTCGAGTAAAATGTTCTATCTACAGTATTAAAAGTACTTTCCCTCCAGGTGGCATTACAAAATTCCACCCTGTATAATCAATACATTTTATAAATCTGGTAGAGAAAACCTCAATCTAAATCAATAAGTAGAGGTATCAGATTCTTATGTATGTAATTACACAAAGAGTACTGAAATGAAACTTACTTTTACCATTCACTTGTTTTAAAAATGTTACTTTTATACCATGTTTGGTTGGCTTGGCTCTACTTAACAGTTTTAACAATTTCTATTAAATATTTTTACACCTGAAAGTTCTATAAAGTTTTTATTTTAGCATACTAGGTCAAAATGCACACCATTTGGTGAGTTACTCGATGCAACAGTCACGCGGAGTGTGGGCCGCGTTCGCAGGTCTGGGTGGCTGGTATCTCAGTACCGGTGGTGGGCGTTGACATCGAGTAGGTACGGTTTTTTGCCAACGGAAGGCAATAACGATATTCAAATTTGTTTAGTTGGTTCTGCGAGTCGCTCGCGCAGTCGGCTACAGAATGGAGAGCAGTAAGCTTTGTGACGGCGCGGCGAACGCACGAGTCGGGCCGCGCGTGATAACGAAAGAGCCTAGAGCTCCCGATTGTAGCTGCAGCGAACGAGACGCCGAGATGGAAGTCGCGGGTCAATGGCGGCGGGAGTGGGCAGGCGCTGCCGAATATGGAAAGGTGAGGCCACCGACCTACCCCTGAGCTTGCTAAGTTCAAAAAGACACTTCGACGTAAGACCTAGAACTAATTTTGTACGCGTAACGTGTTTTCACTTGAAGCTTTCTACAATATTTTATGTGGGTGTTTTGTTATAGGTGTAAATATCGTTCGTTTCATTGATTGTGGTGGGGGCACCACATAATTTAAGCAGTCTATGGAGAAAAAAACTGCTTTATGCATAGCAGTAATAAAGCACTTAGTAGTCATTACCAAAAAAGTATAGTAGTCGTTTCCTTATACGGCTGTAAAGCTACGCGGCTATCTGAGCTTTATTTTAACATTTTAAAGTATTACAAGAATGGAACTTGGGGAACATTGTGGTAAAGTTCAATGTCGAGAATGAAAAGCCCGGACAAACCAGTCTGTCAAACTTATTTTTTCTTTGCTCTTTTAGGTTTCGCGAGAATTATTAGTTACTGACGTTAAGCCAAACGTTAGGTCATTCACAATGTTCCTCAACTTGCAAAAACGTAGTTGTAAGTAGTTGGGTAACCTCGCAGTAATTTTAGTAAGTAACTACATAGGTTGATTGTACCTATACTTACAGTACGATAATTAATAAAGTAGGTACTTATATTTTTTTTACATTACCTAGCTTTTGTTTAACATATTATAATATCCTACTAATCAATAATACCTATTGGACATCTAACAATTTTGCGCATTTCGTATTCCATGCATAAGTGCTTAGTTTATGCGTGTGCGATTTCACCCAAATAGTTGTGGTTGCGTCTTACAATTTTCCCACTGATTCAAAATGAGTAAACAAACTTTTATGTTTCTCAGAGAGATTTTGCTTTGTCGCTACAAAAAGAGCTAGCTGTAATAAATACCTAAACCTATCATAGAAGTTTATAAAAATTTAATTATAATCTTTCTCCCAAGAAACTGCCCGTAAATAAGTTTACTGTTACGTTATGTTATTTTTGTTTCACTCTTTGTTATTTTAACTAATAAAACGGCAAGTAAAACTTAAATATACGCATCTCATATGCCTACTTACATTTTAATTTTCCTCTGAAATATAAAATAAAATATAACTCTAACGCGTTGATGTCTTTTATTCGATGTCGATATATTATTTTATGTAATAAGTATTTTTTTAGTTTATGTTGGCTTGGCTTTACTTACTTATTAACCCTAATATACTATGTTAATTTAAAAATATCGATAATAATAGTTTTATCCTTATGTAAACAAATTTTCATAACCTTGTAGATACCTACTTATCTAAGTAGGGTAAACATGCACATACAATAAATAGGAAACTACCTACTTAGTCCTTTTCTAATTTCTTCCTATACATAAAATAGAGGCAAAACATAAAAAATCCTTTAATTCGATATTGATCCCTAGGTGAAAGTTGTTAAGATTGAATTTTCTTAGAAGATTTCATATTGATATGTTGTGTATAAGGATGTAACTATGCCTAAAGTGAGGGATTGCGTGAGATGTAACAATTGGAAGTGCTATAGGAAGCTGTAGACAATAGCAATCTCGATTCATTTGTCGAACGGTGAAAGTGCGCGACGTAGGAACCTACAGAAAACAATTGTTTCCTATTCATTATCTTTGTAAACGTACCTAAACAGAGTAGATTACCTAATCTTTTTTAGATTAACCAAGTGGGTAAAATTTTTTCTGTCAGGCATTTTGTGTCTCAAAAATTCAAATGCTTGCATTGATATTTGAGCAAGGGAGAGAGCTTGAATAGAATCAAATCAATGGACTATACAAATCTGTTTAAGCACCAACACGTATCCCTAAGAATCCTAAGATCAAATTAATTGAGCCTAAAACAGAGGTTGCAGCCGAAAATCGGTATCGTTTTACAAAGTAGAGCCACTGATTTCATCATTGTTTTGTTGACATGGCGTGACTGCTAATGGTGGCTTAATCTGATCAAGATTTGGAAGTATCATCATTATGTTTCATATTCAAGGACCAAGCTTGGTTGTCGCTAAAATGGTTAACGATCCATGGCAGGAGGAGCCGATGTTCAGTTTCGTGCGCATGCACACGCTGCCGGAAATCCTGCGCAAAGGCCGCGACGAGGCTGCGTATGCGTTTAATTATGTTATTTTTTGTGTTACCGGTGTTTATCATCACACTGACTAGCCTATTTAATGCTAATATGCTAACAAGAGCAGAATGCCTATCACTATCACATTCATGTTTATTAATATCTAATAGAATAGAAAATCAAGATACTGAAAAAGACGCGGGCATTTACTGCCAACTAAAATTATTTTCCAAACATTCTAAATTCTGATATTAACCGCTTGCTCATAAATATTTTTCTAATGCACTAGTTTACAGAATTAGGTTATGGTCATGATTTACAAAGGTCTGCAAATAGATAATGTACCTACCTACCTACACAACTTTGTGTTTGGTAGATAGCAATCAATGGGTTCGCCTGATTAAGTAGTTATCTTATATAGCGAGGCGATAAATAGATAGTACAAAATGCAAAAGTAAGTTAAAATTGTCTAACCTAATCCAAACTAATAAAATAAGTGTGAAAAGATCCTGTGTTACGTTTCATCTAATTTCATAATCGAATGTACTTAAGAAGGCAGATACTTAGGTAGCTTTTTGCCCACATTATTGCACAATGCCATGCTAAAAAAGAAGTGATTACTTGCTCAGTACATAAGGAAGAATAGGAAGTATTTAATTTTATGTCATTCACATGATTGATGTCAATGGCACCCTTTGAGGCTTTGCGCCACAAGAAATTAAGAGATCAAAATGAGTGAGTAATAAAAATGCGCACAAGCAGGTTCATTAACCCCCCATAATTCGTAGACGTTTCGCAACCATTCATTTCATGGTGCAATGGTTAGACGTTAATTATGTTTCAGGTTTTCTTTTTTCTGTTTTTCAAATAAGATTTCGGGTTTCACGGTTTAACTGCCATAGAATCCCTCTGTATTGTTTTACAATTATTTGTTAAAGTTATTGTTCTGTAGGCTTTAACCATTTAACATAGGTATTAGATAGTAGTCAGAGGGTAGAAAGTTACAAACTTTAAGCTTTCTGAGAGAAATATAGAGATTGTCTTTTTCATTTTAAATGTAGGTGAACCTAGACTTAGCTCGATAAGTGATATTTAGTATCATATGAGGATGGATAGATTTTAAGGCAAAAGTATGTTATGTTATGTACCAACCTAGCAAATCAGAACAGAATACAATCTTTATGATTCAGGTTTTTGAACTTAACGCAAACAAGACGCTAACATCCACTTGTAATAAGTACCTACTTAATTTGTAATTTGTCCCATACATACGTACTTATTTTTTGTCCATTGTTAACCACTGCCTATACAGCGTGCTACGCATTAATTACAATTAATACATAGACCTACTATTGGGATTATATTGGTCAAATTAATGATAAATACAATAAATGATAAATTGTATCTGTATGAATATGGATAATATGTATAACGTGGTATAACTATCTAGTGACGTCAATACCATACCTAAATATAAGTAAATTCAAATTATAACAAGTTGCCGTTGGGTTTCTCTCGTGGGTGACTAAAACTTACGCATACATTAAGCTAATTTATATTACCACACTGATTCACGCCTTCCGATTCCGACGAATCAATGTAATTCTCTTAATTTTCTAATAAGCATAACTCATAACGGATTTACAAAGTCCAATCTTCCCTCCCAGAGCTAGATGATTAACGCAACGGAGAGCAGCATTCTAGGCTCTAGGCAGGCTCTGTACGTATTAAATAAGTAATTAAGTAAGTAAGGCCTCTAAGGAAATCAATACTGAATCAACAATGTAGCCCATTTGTATAAATTCTTCCTACTTTGTTGACTCATGTTGATATTTCCCTAGACGTCTTGAGATGTGTGCGTCTTGAATCTCGATTTAAGACCGGAGAGGCGAGAGTCGACGACCGCGCTAAGCATCGCGTCACGATGCCGTCCACATTCGCATCATCAAACCGTCTGACCACTTCCAATGGAAATACCTAATAAGCACTAATATGTAACATAATAACCGTTATTTGGACGAATGAATCGATGATCTTAGTACGCTAAAATATACGGAGTATTTCACTCGATTGTTCACTTCCAAAGATCCAAAGAGTAAAAGTAGTTTCATGACATCATTAACTGCAATTCTAAGAAACTCTTTGTCATCTTTCGAAGATCGCAGGCTTTTAAGTTTCAAAAGCAAGTCAGTGGGTTGCGGCAGCGACCTTACATTTAGTCGTGGTCGGCATTCGATCATACGAATGACGTCACTTTATCCACTGAAAATAAATCACCTTGATCAACAACTATTGTCAATTTTATCTTATAAGTAAATATCTCAATTAGAGTAGGTAAATAAAAATCGTGATGTAAAAAGGTAATTTAAAATTGACGGAGCATGAAAATAGTAGGTATTGAAAGCCTTCATTTTTTATTCATAATTTCTTTTTATAAGAAATTAGAATTATTCTGCGTAGCTTGGTTAAGTTTTATTGCAGGTTGTTATTATTTTAACAAATAATTTAACCAAAAAAACTCAAACTTGAGCAACAGCTCCTTGAATTACAATAATGGAAAACTACTTATGGAAATACCTACACCTTATTGCCTAGGACAAATTATTTGTAGGCGAATAGTAAATATTGAATATGACACCCACCGAGTTCAACAAAAGTGAGTAAGTAGTTCATTTGGAAAGATCGCAATCGAGACAACCGCAATTTCGTTCGCCCCCGCACCGGCGATCACGTCACTATTAACAATAAATACTTGCTCGCTCGCTCGAAGGTCGCCAGACTTGTACCTGGGGCCCTGAGCATAATGAAGCTTTTGTAAATAAACACCAAGTAGGAGCATTATTTTAATTTTATCATAAATAAACACTGGACCCGGGGCTTGGATCCTCTCCAGAGAAACTGGGTTTACACACGGACCCGGGTCACATGAATCGGACTTGAATCTTCTCGTACCGAAGGCTTAATCACCGAGCCTCGTCTAGTTTATGTAAAACTGTTTTTCTAAACACTATTTTGCCTATTTATCTTAGTAAAGAAAATGAAAGCATTTAATTAGCTAACACGACCGAAGGAGATCGCTTTTAGCGAGAAGACCGCTTATATTGTGCCGAGTTATTTTATAAAATCTTAACACCACCTCTTTCTAGAATTGTGGAATTCAGTTAAGTATAAGTCAATTCCTGAAATCCTGCAGCGCTACTAACCGGATCTCTATGAGCAAGGAGAGCGCAAGTGCTCTGCCTTCTACGGCACGTTGCTCCGTCGAATACTTACCCAAGCACTTGCTAGACAGTTATAATAACAGTTGAAGCCATCAAAGCTCAGCCTCATGAATAATTCATGTACTATTTACTTGAAAGTAGTGTTGCTAAAGTCATGTTAAGGTTCATTCATAATTTAAACGCTTTTCAACTATTTACTTTTTAAATAAATACCGAGTGATTGTCAAACAAAAGTACCCATTTTCTATGTAACACAGTTACCCAGATAATAACGACTTATTATTCTAGTCATGTTTAATAAAATTGTAGAACATAAATGCTACTGGATGACTCAGTAGCTAAGCTGTAAGCTACGCACTCCATAATTACCAGGCTATGGCATATCATGCCTACTCTTACATGGTATACCCATGAGCTGCACCATGCATTAACTCACTACACGCATCGTAGATAATAAGGGACATTATTTCACTGGTCGAGGGGAAAATTATACAACATAGGAAAACACACCACGTACGTACGTAACTAGGTACGTAGTAAATTTTCCTCTAGATAGCAGCAGGTAATTTTCATAGTTGAAAAGTGGTAGGTTTATGCAGCATTTTCTTTAGACGGCAACGTTATTGAGATTATAGTCATTATGTAACCAGCAATTTCTTTCAAAAAACAAAAGTTACTTCTTTATACCGCAGAGTTTTCAGTAGGGTACTTATACTTACGTATGAGCTCCTTAATTCATGAAGGAATACAATTCCAATTTGGTTATGGATTTGTCAAATTGTAAAGGAATTCGTGTGCGATAGGTGTGTTTTTTTGTCTCTGTTGTAGACATAGACTTGCTTTTTACGGTAATAAATAAACAACGTTGCACGTCTGACGTTTGCAGGTGACGGAGGGTGGCGTGACGCGGCGAGTGGCGCGGGCGATGGAGGTGCTGAATGCCAGCGGGCCGGGCGCGCGCGTGCGCGTCATGCGCGCCGCCTACCACTCCACCTCGGGGCCCGGCGTCCCTGCCTCCTCGTACATGCTCCACTCTTCAAGGAGGGTCAGTATAGAACAACATTCAGAGATTGGGAAGACCACACCTCTGCCTAGCTACTCTGCTTACTTCTTACACGTTAAGAACATACTTAACACATAAGTAATGCAATTTCAAATCATATTTTTTTGTTTCAGGTCATATCATCTGGATTCAACATTTTAGAGTCGCCAAGCTTCCCCACAAAACCGTTAGAAATATCTTCGACACCATTAGAATCATCACCAGAGTCGAATATTGAAACAGAAAATTACAAAGTGACAGAGCCGGACGATATGGATATATCGGAACCTTCTAAGTGGAGGGGTACAACTGGAAGAAGTTCTATACGAATGCCGAGCGAAGAATCATCATCCACAGACAACGCCAGCATCATAGACTTGGATTCAAGGTTTAGCCGTTCAGGGTTGTACAGAAAATACTCTTATGATTCAGAAAATAGCGATGTACACTCTTTTAAAAGGGACAGCGCAAGAACATCTCCTCTTCTAGATGCCCCAGTCACGTTAAGCACCCTAAAATACAAATCCCTTTTAAACAGCAGTAGCGATTGGAATAACAGGCGAAAAAGTTACAGTTTCGAAGACACATCTCCCTTGAACGAAATTATCTTACAAAGCAACGATACACTAGCAATGGAATCATCGACAGACAGCGGTATTTGTAAATCATCTGAAATCGTAAATGATTACACTGAAGACACACATAAAACAGATTTTATGAGAAGGGAAAATCAGTACAATATTCGAGATTCAATTGAGAATTTACATATCAAAAACAAACATTCATCTTATAAAAGTTCCAAAATGAAAACATATAAAGAACATGATATCGTCATTGAGGACCCACAGGAAAATAACATAGCATTACAATCAACGGGGAAACTCACAATAACTGTTCCTATGACCATAGAAGGAGATGAAGACGATGATGATAATAAAAAATCGAATGAAGACGGTGATCGCAAGGTTAAAAAAGTGGAGTTTTGTAAAACTGAATTGCACTTTGCAGCAGAATCGGGAAGAGTCAATATAATAGCAACTGATGAAAAACCACCACCCACTAACGATTTTCGTAAAAGAAGGAGTGCTTTTGTACCGATTAGGGATAAATTTGAAAAACCGATAACTTTATTTGGCGAGAAGAGTGACTTTCCTGTGACGCACACTATTGATGACTTTAGGTTAAGAGACTTCGGTGAACCTGCAGAATTTGATGAGAATACGGCAGCTACAAAAAGTATTCTCAAGAATAAAATTCCAAAGCCCAAACCATATCTTTTAGGAGAGAACATGGCATTTGGGAATAATCAAGACACTATTCAGTCTCTTGACAGCCCGGTATCTGTTGGAGTATCGCTAATTAACAAAGAATTGGAAGCGAACAGGATTTATAGTAACAAACAATCCATAAATAATTATGTAACTGAGACAACAAGGGAAAAGAGCTTTACAAATTCACTTAGGACAATAAATAAAGGTACGTAAATATTTTCTTGATACAGATAAGGTTCTTAAAAGTTTTGCTAAGTATACCTTACCACAATAATTTTAAAGGGCAGCCACAATGTCTAATTACGATAATAACGAATGTCTTACAAATATTTACAATGAATATATTATATTTTATTATTGTCTTTTTCAGGTCCTCCAAAAGAATTGAGCTCAAAAGTTGAAAGATCTAACACAATCAACGAAAAACATACAGATTCAAAATCAAATACCGCAGCTATCAAAGGCAAATTGCAAGTCTTGCAGATGTCTCCAGTACCTACACCTAAGACGAGACAACTACGTGAAAGTGAACTCACGTATTTTGGTATCAAACAAAATGATTGTAGCACAAACAAAAAGATCAATCGTACTGAAAGCAAATCAGCTTTGCCATGGACTGATTTATCAGAAAATACTTTCAATACTTTCGAATCTGTAAGACTAATAAAAAAATATTCCAACAGCGCTCAAAACAGTGACGCTGAATCTACCGATTCCCATGATTATCAAAATATACCGCTGAAAACTAATTTTGCTCCTGTGCCCATTCCAAGGTCGCGCGCAAAATATATAAAACCTGAAGAGCAAGGTGTGATTCTAAAGCCTATAATTGAACAGGTCTATGATTCCAACAAGGCTGTGCAAGAAACGCGACGCTCCAGAAGTAGAAAGCAAGACGATATACAGACGTCGACCAGTCGCAGTCTTTCTGCACCAGCAAAGAATCATAACAATTATGTCGGTGATACGATAAAAAGATACGAAACACGAGTAAACAATATCAGAAAAGAAAACACAAAACAAAGGTATATATTTTTTGACTACTACAAAAACTAAAATCTAACAATATTTTCATTTTACTAACAACATAATACTCGTACAAGTAAATAGCGTATTGTTAATCATTGCTATTTTATTCTAGGAATGAAGTTCATTCGGGAACAAAAGTCAGCAACGACAAAAATCGTAATGATACGGCAGAAGACATTCCCCTATATGCGAATGTGGAAATAAGAGAAAATGAAATGAATGATTACAATACACAACGAGCAAAACCAGTGTCGCTTGGAATCAAAAGTTCCAAGCAAGTAGACGAAAAAAAGAAATCAGAATCAGAATTAAGTTCTATAGACAAGAAACAAATAACAAACAAGGTAAATCATCGTGTTAAACGAACAGAAAAGTTGTCTACACCTGAAAAATCTAACACTATAGACAAAGGCGCAAGTCGAACTAGAAACAGTTTAGATAAAAGTATCAGTAATTCAGGCAGCGCAAAGGATCAATATAAATCTCGTCAAAAATTAAATAACAAAGTCGATATTTCATCACATAATAATGAAAACCGCCAAGAAATTCATAAACCCAGATCTGCTAAAAAAGAGGATGTACTTAAAAAATCCAACGGTCACACAATTAAAGATAAAAATGTAAAGGCAATCGAAATACCACGCTCTAACAAAGATGTCGAAGCAAACTCTTTGAATCATCGTATCACCTCCAAGCAGTCTAAGATGGAGAAAGACGGCGCCGATAGAGTGAACAACAATACAAATGGACGAAGATCGTCTAGAAGAAGTGAATATGTTATTAAATATGACGACAAGAATGGCACTGTTTCTTCCGTATGCAAAGTTAGATCAGGTCACAGCACCCAAAGAAAAAAACATCAATCGAAAGAAAGAAATAAGGAACACATAAAAGATTACAACACTAAAAATACAGAAAAATCTGCTCTGCGTAAGTAAGTCGCATGCATGCTCGTAATATGAACATAATAACCAAATGTGTGTATGTAGATGACATATTAAAAATGGACATATTTCAGTACAGTTTCCCGCACATCGGATACTAAACGGAAGAAATGAAGAGAAGAAATGGAATACAAAAGTTCACGTACAAAGATCTTGCCAACTTTTGTAGATAGGTAAAAGCGATTGTCTAGTCTTACTGGATCGGGATAGAAAGTGTAGTCCTATAGCACTAATGAATGTGAGTTGATTGCTATCTGTGAATGTGTGCATGTTTTATCAGAACAAAATAACCATGATCTCACCATGTCAATATTTAAATCATTAATTTAATATGAGCCTAACAAAATGTATAACAATACTTTGTGGTAAGATTAAGGTATCAATACTAAGAACCAATAAAATATTTACAAACTACTTCAAGTATTTTATTACTTAAACATAATAAATTACATATTTAAACAGTTGTTAAGGGATCCTTATCAAGCTTGCTTACAAACACTTGAACTTGATTTTCAAGTCTTTTCTCAAGATATGATGAATATACCCGTAGAAATCCTCTCTCTGAATCGGAATGGTTTGTTAAAATAACTGAAATTCCCTTTTGAGCAGCATCCAGGACGTCATGATGGAGCATTTCACCTTTAACAAATTATGCACGTTCATCTAACATGAAGTTTGACAAGGGCGACGTGAATATGTCCTAATTTTTTTTCTAGTGTTCAATTATTTCAGGAAGATCAAATGGGTTTGGAATTGACGAAATATAATATGCTAGAAAGTGTATTGCAACCTTCGATCAACAATGCCAACTAGATTATCGGGTCAGCACAAAAAAATACGTCTCAGGGAATAAGAGCGCACTTGAGAAGCAATTTACTGTAATTAATCTTTAAAATTCCCATCTACACCCCGGTAACTGTGAGTTGGCGTTAATTAATTAAATAAGAATTCACTTCTCAAGTGTGTTCTTATTTCCCGAGACGCAATTTTTGCGCTGATGCAATATCTAGTTGATATTTTTGATCGAAGATTGCAACTGTATTATTTTGATAACGCGGATTACATAACTAGATATTACCTGTTAAATAAAGATCAGCACTGACGCCTTTGAGCACCGAGCCGCCAGAGCCAGCGCATAGTCCAATCTTCGATATGGTATCTTCCATGGTTTTGCCTTTAGCAACAGCTACGCGTACATGTTGGAGACCAGTGAGTTGTTTCACACTGGATACTGCTTGTTGTAAGGAAATCCCACTGCTAAGCTTCAAAAGTCTGTAATGAACAAGTTTTCAAATAAATAAATTATTTCCATTCTTCTTAGGGAGCGCCCACACGGGTGACATTTTTTGTCGTGGTACAGTATTATCGAAGAGAGAAATACTGTCACGGTAACAAAAAACATCCGTGCGCGCGCGCCGTTATAATTTTCACATTAACATGACTTGTCACGACCGGTGCGAAAAGGCACTTAAATAGTAGAACATATACAATACCTTCCAGCTCCTGTATTAGGGTCAGCCCCTGGTGTAATAGGAACCGACTCTTGGAAGACGAATGCAGATGCCAACCAATCGTTCACGCCGCCCCTAACGCAATCCCAGCTAGTATGAGGTGAGTAAAGGGAAATTCGTTTTTCTAACAAAAGTGATACCACTCGCTCCTTCCAGGACCTGAAAAGTGTATTCCAAGTATAAATTTAACTCCAGTTTTATGTAGAGGTCTTGTGTATTGTGTATCGTCGGGATAGTAAGGACGCCGTGCCGTGATGTTATATTTTTTCAGCTGAATGTATAATGATGAATCTGTATTGGTTTCGATCTCTTCACTATTCAAAGTATGTAGTAGATACAATAGTTTGGCTCATTATCAGAAACTCTCCTTATTCAACAGAAATTAGTGCCATTTAGAAACTCTTTAATCAACAGAAATTAGTTCCATAATACAGGGTGTCCCGTAAATAAAAAGAGAAACGGTAAGGTAAGGGGAAGAAGCTAGACATCCTGTTTGATTTCGTACGTGCGAAAAAATGCGAGTAAGTATACAATTAATTACATATTTTAGCAATACAAAAAAGATTACCTTTGGACGACCGATTTCATAGGCGCAAATATGGGCGGGTGATAAGATACAATCATTTCACATCCATTTGCATCAGCCTCTATGGCTACATCCTCTGTCAAATCATTTGTGAGCATGATTTTTGTTATATTCCTGAAATAATTAAAGTTCACATTAATCTACTGCATATCTACAATTACTTTAAAAATTTAAAGTATTTTGTATGAAAATTCAATAAATCATACTTTGCTGTGTATGGCTCAACAAGTAAACCAGTATTATCCCATCCTTCTGCTAGCTGCTTGGGGGCAAATTCTTCCAGTGCAGTCACCACTTTATTCAAAGGAACACCAGCACTTATTTCAGCCGACATTTTTGATACTTTGACTGAACAATAATACCTTACAGCTGGTTTACACAAGTTTGCAAACCTCCCAAGTTTAAATAGCATTAGTTACACTGAAAAAAATTACATAATAATATAAAGTATTCCAGGAAATATTAAATTATGTAATAACAACTCATCCATCACTATTAAATTATTTAAAAAACATAATATTATTATACTATAGCAAAAAAAAACAAATCAATCATTCATTAAAATAAGTTTATTATTGATAAATAAAATAAAATGTAAACATGAACTCCTATACAGCCATAGCCACCACTTTTGCTTTTAATGTTAACAATATATTAATGAACTAGCTAGCTATTTCTTATAGCTACTCAGTGAATTTCCATAATTTAATTTCTCCATTATCGCTGCAGGACAAGAGCTCTTGATTTCCTGTAGGATTCCATTTTACACAATTGACATCTTGAGAATGGGCATCTAATTTAGTGCATATCAATTCAAATGTGGGTGCATTGGGGTCGGAGTCTTCTGCTTCTTTAAAGATCCTTATAATGTCATCGCCACATGCTGTTGCCAGCAAGCCAGTCTTGTGGCACCATGCTATGTCATATATGCATCTCGTGTGGAATCCTGACAAAGTACAAACACACTTCCAGACAGAGTCTCTGTCAACCACCATGACACCTTCTTGATTGTCTGGTTTATATTCCTTCCATATCTTCACAGTTCTGTCGTCACTACAAGTGGCTAATCTTTCCCCAGTCTTGTCAAATGCCAAACTCCAAACTGTTGATTCATGTGATATAAGAGTTGCGATGCAGGTCCAATCATTATCTGCAGGATCTTCTTTGTACATCTTCACTGTATTGTCATAAGAAGCCGAGGCCAAGATATCTAATGTAGGATGCCATACCACCTATAAACATAATGAATGTATCACAATCTTATTATCATTTGGTATGATAGAATTATAAATATGAAATTAATTACAAACTTTCTTAACATCCTGGTTGTGCGCATTCAGGACAGATTCACATTCATATTCATCTTCCCCAGCGACCTCCCACACCCACACCGATTTGTCCCGACCACATGTCGCCAGCAGCTGACCCGAGGGTGACCATGCTACGCTTTTCACTTCATTTTCATGGCCTTCTAATGTGGCATTGCACTCAAATTGACCTTTAAAAATATTGACAAAAATAAATGGATATTTACCAAACTTCCAACTTTTACAAATACTTTTGCTAATCATTAGCATACACACCACTTTTTTTATCCCAAATTGCAGTAGTTGCATCAAAACTGGCAGATGCAAGAAAATTTCCACAAGGTGACCAAGCCACTTCTCTGATAGTACGCTGGTGACCATCGACGAGGACTGTCTTTGTGGTGTATTCTTGACATTCATTACTCCATAATTTAATAATTTTATCTTCACCGCAAGAAGCAAATATTTTACCTAAAGGGTGCCATGACACATTCCATACAATACCTTTGTGGCCATTTAAGCTTTGCATGAGCTCTAGCTTAGCCATAATTTACTTGTAGTCGTTCAAAATATAAAATAAAGTCAATTCTTTCAATTTATTTACCAAACTGTATTAGTAATCACTACAAAAAAATTACCTTAGTTAAACACCAAATTTTTATAAGTGTATGAATGCGGAGTATTCTTTTAAATGCGATTAAGAAAGATCGAGTTTTTATAGAAGTAACAATGGATTAAAACCATTAACCAAACTTGAAAAATAACCTAACCTCAAAAATATTCAAGTGTCTTCCGTCATCCCCTGTTTTATCTGTCAAGTAGTGTTGTGCTGTTGAAGCAATTGATTTATTTAAATCGATGAAAAATGCGAGTATGTGTTCACTCACTGAGTGTATTCCAGCATTTCCAGCAGCCTCCATAAACTATTGGCACTGTCAATTTGAAATGCCTTTGCTCCGGGGTTTTCATACACACTTCGCTCCATTAACGGATTTGATTTTCGGAGCGATCAAGAAAGTGTTAATATTGGACTTTTTTCGATACTAAAAGTGTCGATAGTTGGGCTACACTAACGTCAAGTTAATGACATTATATTTTTTAAGTTTTAGTTTTGGTCTTGGCACACTGATTTTTGATTTTCCATTCGCCCTTGATGTCATAGATTTAGCTAGATAGATAGACATGCCTTCCCGAACTTGTCTGGCCAATGCTAGTCTACAAATGGAAAGAGAGCCCACAAGAGAGCCGGCCGTGAAAATGCAGTAGAGAGTCTCATGACGATGATCACGATGATGATGATAGAAATTAGATTTGATAAAAAAGCTAATAATTTAGCTTTTTCACTACTCTTAAAATTATTATATGATCTATGTCATTTGTGCCAAAAGCAATTTGCTAGAACCAGAAAATCTAGAACCTTAAAATAATTTTAAAAAGTTAAAATGTCAACAATTTGAAATGTGATTTGAAATGTCAGTCAGTGGACATTTTTAGGTTATGTTTAAATTTCGTTTAAAATAAATTCCGTGATTATCTTTAAAACAATGGAAAATAGTAATAAAATAATACCTCCTCATCTAAATGCGGAAGTTTATAGAACAGATACCACCGGCGCATGCTCAATCTCTTATTTGGATTATATTCGTCTTCACCCAGGTAAAATGTTTGGTCGGAACCTCTAATCCTTAACTGTGGTCGGAACACCACATTAGTTCATAATTAATCTAAGTTCATAATATGAAATAAAGTATCGGATCTAAGGTGCCGATAGGTCTTGAGGTTTATCATCATTAAGTTAGTTTAATTGATAACTCCTATAGGTTTGCTCTTTTACATCCAAATACATTGTTAGAACCTCTAATCCATATCTGTGGTTAGAACTCTATCTATTGTTGTAACCCCAGCAGCTAACTATTAATTTTTATATAATTATTGCCGCCATTGTGCTTATCCTTGCCTTAACAGGCTTCCTCGTAATTGTTGACATTGTTCTAAGTTTCACCTTAAATGCCTTTACAATTTTGCACTTTCAGTTTCAGTAATATTCTGCAAATCAATTCATAAGATCAAACTTTTTTTTTCATTTGCTGGTTTTACAGCGATAAAACAATATATCAAAGTCTAATAACTTTTTGCAGATGATGGTATTCTAATAGGATGCTCTGAACTAACTGGACGTTATTGGAATGGTGGAGCGAATCTCTACAAATCTGTCACTGAAGCGCAGAGATCTCATTCAAATGAAAAAAGAGCCATTAGTCTGACAAGTGGCACAGCTGATGGTTGTTTTGTTGGTAATCCATCTAAGGTAGGTTCCTGTGATAAGTCTTTATATCTAAGCTTAGTTGACGGCTAGATGATTGGTATGAATGATATTGAAATAATTTAATTCGATATTTTTGCACATATTGGTAAATATTATAGTGTTAACTAAATTCAAATTTTAAATTGATAAAGTCGAATTGCCTAAGGTGGAAACCAGTATAGGTATTTATGCATACATTGTATTACTAGGTCCTTCTTTGTGAAGACAGTGGAGCAATAAGCATATGGACAGTCTCCCATAATGACTCGTGGAAACAATGGAGCGAAGAGAAGTCTGTGGCTGAGCATGACGACTCGGTGTTAGCCGTGGACTGCCTTCAGTCCGAAAAAGAATATGTTACAGCAGGGGCTGACGGCAATATCAAGGTAAATAAGCCATGGAGGTCATAATAAATATAGACATAGTGACTGTGGGTATATTTGTCCAATAAAGTTTTGTTATTATTTGTTTGTCAAATATTAAATGATAAAATCAATTACTTTATGTATAATATTATTCAGTTGTTTAATGTAAAAATTTATTAATTTTTTCTACTTTTAATGCATTACCTATATTTTTGATTTTCTAGGTGTGGGATATCAATGAGATGATTTGCATTAGAAATTACCTAGCAGCACATAGTTTGGCAATACATGGAGTGGTGGTACGGCCCTCATCAAGTGCATGTTTTGCAACAGGCTCCTTGGACTACAGTGTGACGCTATGGGATGAAAATGTCTCACAGCCAGTTTTAGGTAAATAAATTAAAGTACTATTATTATTCTGTGATCTTCATTAAATACCTTTAGGACTCATTTGTATACAAATTGATTTCAGATCTAGCCAAAAACAGCTGTGGTGTACGGTGTCTGCAATGGACCGACGAAAATTGTCTTATTTATGGTGATGAAGCTGGTGTCATGTATTTAGTTGATGCCAGAAAACCAGAAACTACTATAAAACTATGTGAATTCCCTGCTGCTATCCACAAATTAGTGGTTCACACTGAGTATGTAAACAGTTTTTGTATGATAATTTCTTTGTAAATATTATCAACATTTTTTATGATAAACTTTTTTCTTTACAGAGCCCATAAAGTGGCAGTGTGCTGTGACAACAAAATTGTATCAGTATGTGAATTAAACGAAAATGCCACCCAAAAAGTAATATACCATGACAGACATATGCACACAAATTTCGTTAGGGATGCTGCTTGGGATTTGATGGAGAGCAAGACTCTGCACACAGTCGGGTGGGACGGTGAGATTAAGTCGCACAATATAACCTGGGATTGTGAGTAATTTACATGCATACCTGATCGAAATAAACAATTCCCACCTTTATTTAGAAAGTTTTATTTCATCTTAATTGTACCCTGATAATTATGGGCTATGATACATGATGATTGAGTAAATATTGCTACATTGAACGTTTAACAGTGTGAAATGAAATATAAATGATAACATAGATGCTGAGGAAATGTTTATTAGTTACATTGAGGGTAGGTAGGTAATAGTCGTCGGGCTAGTGGGTCGGTCAATGCGTAGAGGGGGAGGGGGCGCGGCGCTCGGGCGAGGGGCACGGGGAAGACCCGCGGCGGCTGGTGCCCGGACTCTTGAGGCGCACCATCGTGTCCAGGTGACGGAATCTAAAAATAACAAGCAAACTTTCAGTGACATCATTTAAATAGAAAATATCTCGCTGTTAGAGAATATCTACTTGGACAAATGGACCTTAATATTGTCATTGGGCAGAATAAATAATCATCATCATCAACAGCCCTTTACACTCCACTGCTGGACTATGAGCCTCCTCCACTATAGTAGAGGGTTTTGCCATAATCCCCACGCTTGGCAGGCGGGTTGAAGATTTAAAAGATTGATTTTTTTCAGAGCGCGTTTGATGTGTAGTCCGTAAGTCGCCTCTTACTTATGAGTATTATGTAAACTGCCGTGTGATGACGGCAGAGTAGAATACATTTGTCACCAACCCCTACTCTTCCTACGGGTGTCGTAAGAATAAATAATGCATTAAGTATTTAGATTTGTAGGATTACTACCTTAGCGGCAGGTCGTTAGCATCATTGTCAACGCTCTGGAAGAAGAACGCAAGTGGCCAGCTTATCCACGAGGATTGTTTCCTGAAAAGAAAACAGACAAATCTTATTTTTTATCAGTTGTTAAAATGCGACCGGGTAGTGACTCCTCTATAAATGAGAGTGTGACATGCAACGTGGTAGTTGTGATAATATTTCAATCAATCAAACGGTCCTTTGCCAGGATGATCAAAAACATCTCTGCCACGCCACACAGGTGGCGTGATTTACGCTACACTTCCGTACGGTGCAATGCCACCATCAATTCTTATGGATTGCGCTATTTGCCGGCTTTAGTGGTCTTCTGCCTATATGTGACTTCGCCCATTGGGTAGAGTAGTATAGACTGTATACAGTAGTTGAGTCCAGTGTGCTTACCATGAGTTTACGTAAGGAGTGCTCGCTAGCGAGTACGTCAAAAAAATATATGAAGATTTTGTTTCTTGAAAGTAGCCGCTAGGGGCGCTGCACAATATGTCATACATTTAATGTAATTTTTTTACGTTGTCTCTAGCGAGCACACCTAACGTAGACTCATGTTAAGCACACTGAATGAGCGTCAAACATCGGACTAGGCTTTTGGTTATGTTTTGTTGAGTTTTTACTTACGGTGTCAGTGGCTCTTTAGGCTCCAAGTCAGAAGGCGTGTCCGGCGTGGTAGGCACGGCGGCAGGCGGCGGCGAGCCAGGCGTGGTGGCCACCGGCGGCGGCGTCTTGTTGATGGCCGGGTTGTAGATCTTCGGGTCGCTGACCATGCGCACGAAGAACGAACGCTTGTGCGCGAGCGCAGCGCGGTTGCGCCTCGTGCGAATCTCGTTCAAGTCCTGAATTCAAAAAAATTAACAATCATTAGGTAATACTATTAAGGCTGCTTCAAATTAGAGGAGTAAGGAAGCGCTGCAGTGGCGCGCTTGCCGCACCACTACTAGATTTCGTGTTAGAAGCGTAGTTGCAGCACTACATCCATTTGCATTTGTTAAGGTAGTAGCGCTGCATGCAATAGCGCTTCTAGAAATTGTATGAAGTAATAATGGTGGGCATCAGGCACCTTGATTTATACAAAAAAAAATTTCTTACTCGTTCCTTGTCGGGGCCTTCAAGAAGCTCAGTTGCGAAGTCGCTAATGATGTCCCAAGCTATTTCTGTAAAAATTTCAAAATTATCCATAAATTCCTACTTGGCAAATGTAGCAGGTGGTAGAAGGTTGAACTTTGGCTACAGTACGGGACTATTATTCCAAGCTCTCGTTTCCACTGTCTCAACTCACTTCACTCACGTCACAACAACTTATGTAGCCAGGATCTTCAGCTTGACCGCCAATGAACCCTTTCAGTGAAAGTCAAGGTTATTTCGGGGGAAAGTTAAACTGTCATTGGACCCGCAACGAAATTAATCAGAAGATAGGAGGAATTCGAAGTTAAGGTTCGACTTATGGGATAAGGTTTATTGATTATAGCAGAGCAATATACTATAGGGTGGCAGGGCTGGCAAAATGCCACGGGCCCCCGACCTGAGGGGGCCGCCCCAAGACCCAAGATAGTCCCGAAGCCCCCTCAAAAAAAAAAATAGATACGCCAAGGGCCCCATGCACAGAATTAGCCACGGGCCTCGGATGGCATAGTCACGCCACTGTAGCAGATATTGTTACCGATATCTTCGCGCGTAGCGTGCTGCTGCACCACACAGAAGCGGATGACGAACCGCTCGCGCACGTTGGCGGGCACCATGTGGATCTTGCCCGAGGCGTTGATGTTGGTCAGCAGCTTCTTGTTCATCTCGTCTGCCTGCTCCGGGGTCTCGTCTGAGCCGCCCACTAGGCGGAAGCACACGAGCCCGAGCTGAGAATAACAGACCTTTAAGTAATGTAATAGAAAAGGATGAAGATGTATGTTCAAGTACCTTTGTAAGGCTTAGGTCTGAATATAAGGTCAAGACTGAGATGTGTTTTTTTATCTCGCCGCTTAGAAACGCATGAATAGCTGAACTTCACTCCTACAGTAACACCGTGCAAGTTCGTTGAGTCTTCAAGTCCGTCAGCTCACCTGTGACACCTGCACCGTGTCAACTTTCAACATCAGGCACGTAAAATAGACAATGATCTCTCTGAATTAGACTCAACACTTGGACGAATTAATCCAAGACTCAACACAATTCATTCGTGTGAAGTACGCAGAACAAATGTCCATCTTAGATATGTCGACCTTCGCTCATCTCAGATCTCAGTGTCAAAAGTAAGTGGCTCTCAGATTAGAAGTGGGTCAACTATGAAGTGGTCATCTCACTAGGAACTGAAATAGATTTAACTGATGGCCTGAGCACAGAATAATAATAAGTACTGCCTGAGTATCTACAATCTGGATGATACAGTTTTAAATTGAAATGTGATAACGAGTATTTGTAACCGAGTAACTTATAACACGAGTGCTTAACTAAGGCTAAGTTTATCAAACTTACCTTTACTTGGTTGCAGACTTCAAAGCGGTCGTCCTTCTTGACCAGCTTTTCAAAATATTTCGCAAGCTCGCAGTGTCGACGCACGTATCTCTGCAGGCCACTGATCCCGTAGCTCCTCAGCATGAACCAGAGTTTCAGAGACCTAAAACGTCGGCTGAGCGGCACTCCCCAGTGCCGGTAATCGATTGCCGTGTGGTCATAGCAATGTTGAAGGTAGAGAGGGTCGACGACCAGAGCCGACGTGAGTAGGTATCTGTTGGTGACCCAGAGGAGAGAGCAGTCGAAGCTTGTGAGCATGAGTTTATTAGGATTGGTGTTGAAGGAGTCTGCGTACTCGATGCCCGCGAGGTTGTGTTTATGCTCGGGGCATAAGAAAGAGCTGCCAGCATAGGCGGCGTCCACATGCATCCACACGCTGGGAAACTTGCGCACCACCGGGCCTATCTCGGGCAGGTTGTCGTAGGAGCAGCAGGACGTGGTGCCCAGGGTCGTGGCCACGAAGAACGGCACCAGACCAGCTTCCTCGTCCTCTTCCATGGCCTGTATTCAAGGTAAGTTTTCATTTCAATGTATTAACAGTAAATTATGTTGTAATAGTAATCTAGCCAAATATAGGCATACCTCAGTAGGTACTAGAAGAAGCACCAATAAATACATCCCTGACAAGTGTACTTAAACATCGTATTGAGAGCTACTGCAACGTCTGCAACAGCAGGTGAGTACCTACTAATTTATTTTGTAGGTAGGTATTTTAGCAATGATAAAATCACAATAGAGAAAAAATAAGAAAAAGCTGTGTTTAATATGAATAAAACAGCTGGGGGTGAGAATAAAATGCTAAATATTTTTGACCCCAATAAAAATAAATCATCCAATTCAGTTGCTGAGAGATCTCAATTAGAGCGATCTTTCATAAGAGCGTCGTATCGTGAAATTTCAATATTTGCGGCATAGAAAGTGGCACACAATGCGGCTCCATTACCGCCCGGCTCGCCACGTATTTCCGGCATCCAAGGGCGAGTCATTAAACGGGGAACAGCGCCACAGTTGAAACTGAACGGCTAGTCCACTAAACTACTATTAGGTGGAGTTCTCTAACAAAAAAAAAATATTTGTTGATGAATCTTGTACATGATTCATTAAACTTCAAAGAATCTAAAGGCTATCAGGGAGGAAAAAGAGCACATGGCTCTACAATATAAACTCCAATTTTTGTGTTTTTTTTTGTGATTGGTTTGGTGCGATGTTAGTGTATGGGTAAACTGTTGTGTTTGAGCTGTGGCAGCGTAGATGCGGGCAGAGCACCATGTAGGCCATGACTCTCAATTAAAACGTCCGATTATCTGTGCAGTTTTGCACAATTCCAATTAAAAATCTTTACAACAATGGATTCGGCAGGTTTTCAGCGCTTTTAGAGCTAGAATGGGAAAAATGGCAAGGAAAAAGAGAAACGGAATTAATAAGTAATAACAGCTTTTGTGTTAGAGGTGACCATCATCATCATCAATTCGACCACAGAACGTGACGTCCACTGCTAAAGAAAGGCCTGGGGAGGTCTTAGTACAAATAGAACTTTGTAAATGGGATGATTTAACAGTTTTATATTACCTACTTACCTACATCCATGTCAAATAGATAATAGAGATCAGAGTCAATAGTTATTTCGGGAATGGTACAGGAAGAAAAGTCAACCATTCTAAAAGCGAAGAAATCCAACGCACTCACTTGTTTCAACGTTTCGCCTCTCAGCGAGCCGTTCTCATCTGGCTGCAGGATGCGTAATTTGACGAAGCAGATCATGGCTGCCTTCTCGACGCAGGAGTGCGCCTCCTTGGAGCAGTAAGCTATGAGCTTGGACAGCAGGAGACCCTCGTCCACTGTTGGGAACTGGTGCTTCAGTCGCTTGATGCCGTTGGCGCGGGCTGCTAGCATAGATACCAGCACGCATTCGCTCGCCGAACCCTGGATTTAGGTAAGTGATCGGGATCAAATTTTCAGACGTTTATGAGCACTTTTTCAAAGATCATTATTAAGTTTTCGTGAAAGTAATTAAAGAGGACTTTGCCGCTTTTACCTCCTGGTTTGAGGCTAATCGTATAATTTGTTAAAAACCAATAACTTTTAAAGCGACGAAGGTCTTTATGTTAGATAGGCCGTAAAGTCCACGCTCAAAAAGTGTTATTAGGTATCTATGAATACTAACACTACGTAATCGCTGAAAAGTTCTACAATTTTGTAATTATCTTATTTTGGATGATATAGTTAGGCTTCATCGATAAATGAACCTCACCTCTATAACACCACCCCCCTTGCTCCCTTCTTCGAGAGCTAAAAAGGCTGGAGGCAAACCAATTGCTTTACCTGAGAAGATTAGAAAACTGCAATGAGTTAGGGAACGACCGGATAGCCAGCATTATTCAGTGTTTGAGTACCGTAAAGTTAAAATATCAAAAGAAACACGTTGTTTCGATAAACATTTATATTTAGTACAAGAGGTTTTGTAATTTTGTTGGAAATAATTTCTTAAACTACCGAAATTATTTAAAAAAATATTTCACTAAATAGTAAGCTACATTTATTATACATAGAAAGGTAAACTTTTTGAATTACACCGAAGTTGATACAGGCGAAACCTAGTCACTTATGTTTTCTGAATGAATACAGCCTGCGACTTACATAAACGCACAACATTCCCTTTCGTGTAGATGCTTATTAAAATTTAAATGGAAATGTACATACCCATCCAATCCAGCATGATTATCTCCAGTTCTGTACACGCCGGGCCCGCTGCCTGTAAATATTACACGTGCCATGTAATTTAGCCCAATGCAATTGTTTTAGATGATAACACTGGTCAACACATGTTTTTTTTTCCTTTAATTTTTTTTCTGTTATTGGGTATTTCTATTGCCCTGATTATGAAAAAAATACTGGGAGATTGCCAACAGCTTTACTTTTTAAAATATAGAGTTTTATTATTTTGACAAAAAATACGAAAAATTACACATTGTGCTAATAAAATTTCTATTAAACACTAGCAAATGATCTTTTATATGATTTCCTTGAATAGGCATGTTTGAGTAGATCTCGTTGCAAGCTCCAGCAATGGTCTGCCATTCATATATGAGCACCACGCCCCTGATAACCTTCTTCCATTGTCAGAAAATTCCAATGAAAACTTTTATCCTGCTCCTCACTAAAATCACCCACATTTTGTGGAAATCGATGTTAATGCGAGTACCTACATGAAGTGTATTTTTATGCACATGTTGCACCCTAGCTCTTGCAAGTTGGATAGCATGCTCTCAACAATCTCTTTTTGCTTAGGAAATTACTTATAACCAAAAAAAAAAAACATTTTAAGCTTAGGACTGGACTTCACTCATTGATTTCTTAAAATTACGATCATTCACCAGTTGCCTAATGTGAGTCCCATCAAAAATTACCAGCTTTTAAGTTTTCTGTGCTTAATTCTGAAAAATTGCGAGAAAGAAAATTAAAACATTCGTCACTTTTGTCAAGCGCCTTCACAAACTATTTCAAGATGCCGAGCTTAATATAAAGTGGTGAAAGTACGGTGATACGGTCTTGGCTAACTAAAGGCACGTTTATAAAATTTTTTGTATCAACTTTAGCTGAAGAGCTAAAAGTTGTGTGTGCGGGAAGCCGCACTGGCCAAAATGTTTCTAACCAATGCTATTGTTTGTTACGACTATTCCAGAGACACATGGAACGGGAATTTTGTGTAGCCCCCTTGTTGGCCTAAAAGATGTTACCTATTCTCAGAACACAAAATAATAATAATNTAGAAATAATAATGGCAGGTTGAACCAACAAGAAGGTTTTAGTTTATCAATCATAAAAATCTTCTTGACAAGATAAATGTCAAACAACTTTAATCGGAATAATTTTGAACTTTACTGACTAACAGTTAAAGATTATTTTGTCTAACTCGAGATTATTCTGTAACATAGTTTCAAAAGGTAATATGTGCTCGCGATTCGTTGAAGGAATCAATTTGAAAACTGACGAACCTTTTCATTCCGCGACTGTACACAAATCAATCACTCAGAAATTCTTTGACAGTATAAAAACATTTATCAACTAACCATTCATAAAGACATTTTTTAAATTGGTTTACATGCAAGTCAGTGATAGAGTCTGGAATTTTATTAAAAACTTTAATGGCCATTATAAAACAGTTTTTACTGTAAAGGGTAGACTTTATAGCCGGAAATTTAAGCCTGTTAGGATGTCTTCTACTATATAGGTTATTATGACTATATGTCGTGAAAAAATAGGAAAACCATAAATTGTAGATTTTTACTATTCAGAAGTGGGAAGTAATTTACCTATTTCCTTTATAAATTGCATTCCATAGCTGGTATTGGAATTTTAACAATAATGAATATTTTGTTATCCAAGGTCGAATGCCAAAATAAAAATAACTTTTTCACCGACAAAATCTCCGTACAATCCCCGGTAGAACATAATCGGAACTGACTCAGATACTTTATATAGCCCGGTCCGTGAGCACGTAGAATTTTGTCCAATGACCCCTAGCTACCCATCCTTATCGCTCGCGCGTACGAGGGCGGCACTGAAAATTTCGGGAATCAAGGAAGTGAAACAACATTACTATNTTTAAGCCTGTTAGGATGTCTTCTACTATATAGGTTATTATGACTATATGTCGTGAAAAAATAGGAATGTTTTTTTACAAATAATCCCAATTCATAAATGTATAGGCATGGCAGAGTTAATAGGTTCAGCTTTCTGAACCAGGGCTTACACGAGTCCAACGAGTCTAAATTGCACATTGCACGAATGCATTTTTTTTGGATAATGAACAAGGATTCGATTTCACTTGAATTTCCCCAGACTACTATACCATAACGTAGCACCGACGCAACGTATCCATGATAGGCAAGAAGGGAAAGTTTTAGATTATTCGTTTTTCTGATTCTATATAAAACATAGACAAAACGATTTATTTTAGTACACAACTGTTCTACCTGCAATTTCCATGAGCAATTAGAATCTAAGGTTAGTCCTAAAAACAAAGCGCATGAGGACCTCTCAACTCTTTCTCCTCCACAGAATAGATTTATATTTGGAGGCACTTTTTTCGTGTTATGGAATTGCATAAATTTAGTCTTGGATACATTAATAAAGAGGTTATTACAACTGAGCCATTTTGCAACTTTGTCTACCGTATTGTTAATGTCAAATTCATAATTAATAATGTCATTGCAAGTGATAACAATCGAAATGTCATCAGCAAATAATATTGTTTGAAATTCAGTTACATTAGGCAGGTCATTAATGTAAATTAGAAACAGAAGTGGCCCTAAAATGCTTCCTTGAGGTACACCGTATGAATTTATCTTTGGACATGATCTAAAGTATTTTATCTTTGGACATGATCTAAAGTATTTTACCAAAACATACTTTGCCAAACAATAATTTGCTAAACAATAATATGCCAAAAACGGCATTTGCGAATTAAAAGTTTGCTATAAGTTGTTTTGCCAAATGAGAATTTGCCAAATGAAAATTTGCGAAACGTTGTTTGCCATGTGATAATTTGGGAAACGTTTTTTGGCCAAACATTAGTAATCCGTCATCGTGGTTTTGGCAACTACCCTAAAATGATTGTCTGGCAAGGGGTTGGAACGGTCATAACTCTCTGGCTAATGAACAAACGAGTTTTAATTATTATTGCAGTCAGTCATTAATATTAATTTACAAGAGATTGTGGAATTTAAAAAATAAATATAATATACTTTTATACTTTTGTTGCTGTCTGATGTTCGGAATTGTGCTGTCATGATGAGATTAATTTTTGTAACAAATTAATACATTTTATTACTCTTTGTACGTGAGGTTTTCAAAAAGATAAGGGTTTATGGTTGTTACTATAATTTTTACCTCAGTTGCACCATCTTAACTTTAACCGTATCTATAACTTTAACCGGTGTTTCAGAGTTTGACAGACTCTTGACGATTGTTAAAGTTAAAGTAAGATGGGCCAACCCAGTCTAAATGTGATGTTTGGCAATGATTCAGGAGATAACAGGGTATTTACTATAAATATTAAAAAAATTATAATAAAAATAAACTTTTTTAATAACAAGCTTTTATTCTGAATTTCGAAAGCTTGTATCGCGCATGGAATTTATCCCTCTTTTTCTCTGTTTGCGCTACAAGCTTTCGATATTCAGAATAAAAGTTTGTTTTTAAAAAAGTTTATTTTTATTATAATTTTATTTTACACTTTTTAGCTATATCTTAGTCTCAGGACCCTGGACATTATCTAACACTAAAGTGCTCAAAAAGACAAATCCAACGAACCCAAACTCGATGAGTTTCCGCCGTTTTGTTTAGGAGTTCCTATGGCCACCTCCCGACTCCATCATCAGACCAGCTCAATGGTGCCATAATATTGCATTGTCATCGTACTTACATAAGTATACCAAATTTCAGCTCAATCGGTTGAGAAGAAGTGGTCTTAAATTCAGTTGCAAGATTTGTCCCACACATACTAACAAGTGAAGTCAATATAAAGCTTGTAATAATAAAAAGCTTGTAATAAAATATAGGTAACTATTAGGTACTCGTAGTACTTACTTACTTTACACAATCATGAAAATTTAAAGATAACTAAAGCCCGGTCCGTGAGCACGTCGAATTTTGTCCAATGACCCCTAGCTACCCATCCTTATCACTCGCGCGTAATTATATTGCTGTCGCGACTGTGCGACTGGCACCCGCAGTGAGTGTGCGAGCGCGATAGCAACATAATTACGCGCGAGCTATAAGGATGGGTAGCTTTGGGACATTGGACAAAATTCTACGTGCTCACGGACCAGACTATAGGCTACTACTATAATAATAACATAGACAGTAAATTGAGCTACCTTTAACATTTGCTTCAAAAACATAACGTAGCTGAAAATAATTTCAAAACGATTATTTTGACGGGATTGCTACCATGTTCAATCACATGTAATATGACGTCACTAACAGAATAATGTAATATAATAACCACGAAAGTTTAAAATAATAATAATTATTTCATAATGAACCATGTATTTGAAAGAAAATTCAGAATCATAATATTCAGAATTCTTCCTATCTAGGGTGACGCAGCATTGTTCAATAATCATCTATTTGCTCTCTTTCAAAGCTAAAAGTCAATATAAGATTTGATTACGAATAATGAGGTGGGACGAGAGACATTATTGAAAGCCAGACACGGTGGTGTCAACGTGCAAGTGAAAAGTGGTATCAAAAAAGTCTGAAAAAGTATAATTAAATTTTCAAAATGAGTGGAGTTATCTATCAAGTGCTTGCAACTTTAATTTGTAAGTAAATAATGTGTTTTTAAAACAGATATAGAAATAGGCCCATTTTATAAAAAAATCTACGAATGAATAAGTTTTTTTAAATAGGCTTTTTCAAGGCTTAAATCAAGTGGCAGTGGGCGGGGCACATAGCTCGAAGAGCTGATGGCCGCTGGGGCAGGAAAGTTCTTGAGTGGCGACCACGAGCTGGAAGACGTAGCGTGGGCAGGCCTCCCACTAGGTGGACCGACGATCTGGTGAAGGTCGCGGGAAGTACCTGGATGCAANAGGCTTTTTCAAGGCTTAAATCAAGTGGCAGTGGGCGGGGCACATAGCTCGAAGAGCTGATGGCCGCTGGGGCAGGAAAGTTCTTGAGTGGCGACCACGAGCTGGAAGACGTAGCGTGGGCAGGCCTCCCACTAGGTGGACCGACGATCTGGTGAAGGTCGCGGGAAGTACCTGGATGCAAGCAGGACCGGTCTTTGTGGAAAACCTTGGGGGAGGCCTTTGTCCAGCAGTGGACGTCTTTCGGCTGAAACGAACGAACGAACGAACGAAATAGGCTTTTTAAAAAGAGCTTTTGAACTTGGTATAACTTGGTATAACGGATCGTGCTTAGTTGTAAAAGGTGTGATTTAGTAGCAAAAATGTACATGTAGCTTACTCAAATGGACAGGATACTACTGATTAAACTTGTATGACCATATATTTGACCCCAAAGGATTCAAATACTCAACCACTTTGGTCGGAAATTCGGTGCAGGCTCTATACAGGATGGAATTTCGTAATTTCTTATTAGAAAATTTTACTCAAAGAAAACAAAAAAAATAGAGCTGCGTTCAAAGGAGGCTTCCGGCAACTGGGACCGCAATTAACTAGGACCGCGGTCCCAGTCGCCGGATCCGTAATCAAAGATTTCCAATTTTTTTTTCGAAAATTCTTCACCAAACCATACAACTTTCTGTAAAATATTAAAATTTTAAGATTTCATTGTTTTCCTTTCATTTGATTTATCATTTGTTAGAGAGATTTCATCCATACTGAACCCTAACACTCAACACAATAAAAATACAGAGTGTAATTTTTAACAAATTTTAGTTGGTTCGAGTCCTCTTTTTTTTCAAAATGTTGAACGTTTTCTTTGAGTAAAATTTTCTATCTACAGTATTTAGAGTACCTAGATACTTTAAATACCCCTGTATAGCGTATGTTAAATTGCGTAAAAATTTAATATTTGACTAAATTTTATTCAATATTTGCACGTTTTTATTATTTAATACGTCTTTAAAAGTATTAATTTAGATCAAATGACGTCATGATGACAAATCTTTAAGTAAATTGTCTACGTTAGAAGTAAACTGTAGTTTGGATGGCATGCATGGCAGATATTAGATCCAATTTTAGCTCCAAGGTTAGTAAATACGAATGAGGGTAGAAGCTTTCTCTATCCCAGTTTTCTTGTCCCAAAGACCTCAAAATGATTGAAAATAATAATATGAAACCATCATCGATCATCAGAGGGCCTAGTGTGAGTTTCAAACGCGCTCACTAGTGTCATGCTCTTTATTTAATTCTCAGAGGAAAACAATAGATTTTTCCTACACTCCCCATGTTGACTAGGACGGTAAAAAAACCAAATCGAAGATAATTGAAATTGAAATTGAAAAAATTTATTGTGAGACCGGGGTCCATAATCGTGTTAGTAACAATTTTCACTTAGCCTATGTTAGTAAGATACAAATAATGAAATATGAAGCCGCTTACATAGCACTGGAGACGTGCAAGCTAAGCCAGCGCCCCAGCAGCGGCGAGTCCCACCTGTCAGCCAATGCCCTCAGGATGCCATTTGTACTGCCGCGGAGACGCTCTAGGAGCGATGCGCTCCGCTTCCGAATTATCGCGTGGAAGCCGTCGGTGTGCGCTTCCGCAAACATGGTTGACGCGCTGCAGAACCGCGGCAGGCCAAGTAGCACCCTGAACGCATTGTTGTACTGCACACGCAGTGCGCTGTAAGCGCGCTGGGTAAAGCTGACCCATAGGCTGCACGTGTAAAGAGACTGGCAGTAAGCTTTAAAAAGCGTGATTTTTACTTCATCCTTACAACGCGCAAACCTACGTGCCAACATATTACAACGCACTGACAGCGCCCTGCGCTCCCTTTCTATGTCTACATTATCCTTTAAGTCATCTGTAACCCAGTGACCAAGGTATTTAAATGAGTTAACCCGTTTCAGAGGCATACCACAAAGTGTTAAGTGCGGAACTGATGAGTATGTTTTAGTCCGCGATTTGAAGATCATGAACTCACTCTTCGACACATTATATTTGAGTCCATGTGCCATCGCATACTCCTCGCATATCTTAAGCAGTTTACGCATAGCTGCAATCGACGGGGTCAGCAGCACCATGTCATCAGCATAACTAATATTATTAATACAAACGCCGTCGATATGACACCCGACCTTGGTGCTGCTGAGCCCCTCGATCAGTCGGTTCATGTACAAGTTGAAGAGGCTTGGCGAGCTCAACCCCCCCTGCCTCACCCCGCACTCCAACCTGTACACATCCGAGAACGCCCCTGCCCACTTAACACTGTTCTTTTGATTGCTGTACCAATACCCAAACATTGACACGATCTCAGGCGGTAGGTTTGTTTCGTTGCTTAGCTTTTCCCATAGTATGTTATATGAGACTAGGGTTGTTGGGTAAGGTTATTTCTTTATACGGTATACCTACTTTTAGAAATATGCCAACTCCTCCTCGTCTTTGTTTTTGCCTCGAATAATAACTAGCAAGACAATAACCTTTGAGGTAAGCGTTTTTTTCTTCCCCCCTTTTTATAAAGGTTTCGCTTAAACAAATAACATCAAAAAATACATTATCATTACTAAAGTTATCAAGCCATATTGCCAACAGATCACGCTTATTCAGAAAACCGGCCACATTCTGGTGCAGAATGTTGAAGTTATTGCATTTCGTTTTAGTGTAATTATCATCATAATTAGAATTATTAGCGAAAAAAGTTTGGTGAGTCATTTATTTCTAAATTAGGGTCATCTATTGGGTAGTTGAGTTCAATGTCAAAATCAATATCATCTATTAGTTTACACAAGTCATTAAATACAATATTCATTCCTGCGTTGTTCACCAAACCATTATACTTGAATGTCTCATACGAATATTTCAAATGTCTATTACTGTCTAAAAGATACGCATATTGGTGCGTTTCATTATCGAGATGAAGCATATTATTAAATATTTCAATTCGCATATTATACAAATTTGCGTGAGATTTAAACTTATACATTGGCAAACAAAGGATAACATTTGTATGTTGCACTTTTGATAAGTGTACTCTCATTTCTTTTATCAGTTTCGTATAGTCGTGTGTAGTTGTAGGAAGTGAGTCGGACAGAATGAATTAATAAGGCAGAGATATCAAGATATAGCTATTTTTATTAATTATAAGAACAGCAATTTAATCAATGGTAGTGATTCAGTAATTAGTCTTAATTAAGTAGCGTACAGCTAACACTTCAATTGTGGCCAATGCTCAGGCTTTAACCACAAGTGACTTTATTTTAATTAATTATAAAGCGCCTATGGGCATTTTAATAATTAATGATAATAATTAACTTAACATTTAAATTAATTATCCAATAGGTCTAGGAACAGCTTAGCAATAGTACAAGGTGTGCACCGTGCCGCGCCAGAGCCAAGACTGCCTGCTCCGTCGCTGCGCGCTCGATTTATACCCGTTGCAAAACAACCGTAGTGGAGGTGGGGGAAAAGTGAAAGGCGCTTGCTCTGACGTTGTACGGTGCAGCTGTTGTTTACGAGTTTGTAACAAGTTCGGCGTGCGATGACGCCGCCGTCACATATGTTATTATGTAGCGCAAACAGAAAAAAGAGGAATAAATTCCTTGCGCGATACAAGCTTTCGAAATTATTTGAACCTTACATAAAATTATTTTTTTCGTTTTAGTACAACTGCATTTTAGAATATAGCTTGTTATTAAAAAAGTTTTTTTGTTTATTATAATTTTAAATAAGTGTGAATTATTAAAAAAAGAAATTATTAAATTAGACAACAGCAGCAGGCTAACGTATCGCACTGACATTACTGGTTTCTATTTATTTCTGTGATTTCCTAGTAAATGTAAACCAGTATTTTTGCACCCCAATACGTCACCCACTAGTGCTGCGTGTAATTTTAATGGACGTCTTTAAGTTTCGGCATTTTCAGGGTCTATCAGTACTGTTTATTTAATTCTGATTAAAATAATTATCTCTTTGCAGCTCCTTATGATCTTCGGATCCATAATGGTCGGTTTCTTCGGCCTCCTGCTTGGCACTCAAGTGCAGTTCCACTGGGGTCCTGCTTGGGTCACCCCTGTGATTATATGCTTCTACAGTATAGCATACGCTTTCGGCGCTGGAACGATACCGTATTTGCTGATGGGTGAAGTGTTCTTGCCTGAGGTAAGTTCATCATCATCATCATTACTATTAGCATCCACAAGCCACATCATTTGCATTTGAATTTGAAAATCTACCTCAAGATCCGCAACTTTCTCTTTTACATTAGGCTCAAAATGACTATTTTGAGAATTTTCCATTGTACCTACTTAATGGCTGTGTTGTCTGCTGATAACTGTACAAAAACTTGATCGAAATCAAGAAAAGTTTAAGCCCGAAATAAATGGAAATATTTAAAGCAAAATTACTTGAAGACTCGAGTTGTATTTCGAGTCCCTCATTAAAATGTAAGGCAAAATCACATATGGATGAATTAACCATGCTGTAATGTCAGCTAATGTATCTATCACGTTCGCTGACTCGTTTGTGGCAAAATATCAGCAAAGTTAGTTCTTCATTCTGACACCTACATCTGATTCTTTCTATGACTCTTTTATCCATAACCTATTTATAATGTGCTTGTGTTTGTCTTTAAATATTTTGTGTTTTGGGAAAATCTACCAAATTAACGCCCATACTGGAGTGTGAATACTCACAAACGATGCTTGCTTAACCTTTAACCAGTGACATGACTATTTTATAACACTATAAGGGACATGACGTCTCACAGGCTACTACTTCGAAATCAAAAAAATTACAAAATTGCATGTGGAATTGTGGATTACTTTAAAATTGTATTTGTATTTAACTATTGGTATGTCAATAAAACAAATGTAAATGAATTCAATATTTTTTTTTATAATTACATAGAAAAAAACTATAATTACCAATTAGTGGTAATTTTCAGCCTCAATTGATATGAGGTCCTTTTTTAGCATTTTAATAGACTTTATATAAATTCTATGTCAAATTTAATACTTTTTACTAAAAATCTAATAATACAGAAACCGAAAAAACATAAAAGCCACTTCTGAAAACTAAAAAGAAAAATTCTGACACCCGCTCAATTTGGCATAAAATCAATGGCAATTTTTGCAGAAAAGGCGAGAACATTGCAAACATATGGGATTGTAACACCCCAACACAAGTGTACTGTGGCGAAGTAGCATGGCTTGGCACCCGGGGCGACCCCTTCCCCCCCTCCTCACCCCTCATAAGACCATAAGTCGGATGTTCATATTGCGGGGGGCTAAGGCACCCCAGAATGGTCTGGTGTCCCCCAGAATTTTCGGGTTACCGATTTGAAGCCGAAAGATTGTAGTACTAAGTCATGAGCTATATTATTATGATGAGATGATACCAATCGCATGCACCCCCNGCCGCCACTGTCCGCTGTGTACACTTTCATTTTGTGTAGTTTAGGCAGACAAATACTGCATCCCCTTTGCTTGGCTTGACTTGTTTCAGGATGGAACAGACGGTCCATCGTTTGAACCTTGACGACGTTCAAAAGGTTCAAACGATTGACTGACCGTTCGTAATATTTTATTCTTTGATGAATTCGTGGGCTGGAGTTATAATTTCCTAGTCTTATCTGCCATTTAGCACTTAAAATAAAAAGTAGAGTGTAAAAGTTTTTGTATGACAACTAGGGACATGTAGCCTCACAGGCTACGATCGATTTTCTAATTCGTATAACTTACGTGCAAAACAACCGATAACACGTCTGCCTTCTTCTGTGGTCGTTTTAGCACTAAAACAAAAGCTACTAAGACGCTGGGTCGCTGCAAGCGAGGGGAAGTAGTCAATTCTAAGAATTTGAAAAACATGAGACGCCTGTCAGACTACGTGTCACTGGTTAAAGGTTAAGTGAAGCAGCAACGCGTTGAATAGAGCTCTGTGATTCGTGTGTCACCCTGTGCGTCCACGCACACTTTGAAACCTCATAGTAATGTTTGTGAATACGGGCAAAAGACTAACTTTTGTGTTTTGGAAAAAACTATCAAACTAAGAGCTTTTGTTATATTTTTATTGATTATCATTATTATAATTTTAAGATCCATCTGATCCTCCATTTTCCTTCCAGGTCAGAGGCGTGATGTCCATAATATGCCTGGAATGGACATGGTCCTGCAACTTCATCGCCATCTTCATATTCAAGCCGCTGGTCGCAGCTATTGGCTTGGGATCTGTTTTCTACTTCTTTGCTTTTGTAGCTATTCTCTCTGCTGTGTTCGCCTACTTCTGCCAGCCTGAGACTAAAGGGCTGTCTGTGAATGATATACAGCTTCTGTTGGTTAAGAAGAAAGTGCGATGATCAATAGATTTTAAAAGTTTTGTTGAGAAAAAAGTTAGGTCGAATTTTCAATCACTTTTTGTTAATTCATCATCATCATCATCATTTCAGCCACAGGACTTCCCTTGCTGAACATAGGCCTCCCCCAATGACTTCCACATCGCACGGTTGGTAGCGGCCTGCATCCAGCGCCTTCCTGCTACCTTTACCTTTTGCTGATTATTACATTCATAAGTATAATGCTGTCTAAGTATGATAGGCATTAAAAACAGCTTGTTGTAATATGAGAAATTGCCATCAAGGTGGTAATTAAACCAAAGAACAGTTTTTTACTTACTAGAAACAATTTTTTTAACATAAGTGGATCACTTGTATCAGTTGTATCATCAAACGTTTAGGAGAGCCCCAAAACGTATTAAAGTTAAGAAACATAATAATATTTTCTAAGTGTTATTGTGATATACTTAGGTTGTAAATAAAAATTGTGATACTTTATAAATCTGTGTTTTATAAGTTACTAAAATTTTAACAACCCCTCTTTGTAAGCTTAAAACTTATGTGTGTTGCTAGAGTACCCACTCTACTTCACCACAATACCTACTTCAGCGGTCGACGAAAATCAAACTAGCGACTCTCGAACTTGAATCTCGATTCGACCGATTTCTGAGTAAGTTCTGAATAACTTTAACTTTAACCTGTAGCATTAGAGAGCATGAAACGTCACAGACAGACAAACAGTTACAAATTTTTCGCAAAGTCAGTTTTATTTTCCTAAAAAATTTGATTTATAACTAAATAAACATAGCTGCCTGCTCGTTATCTCTCAGATAACGTTATCAGTGACATAATAAAACAAACGAACATAGAATTGCCAAGTTCATTGTTAGAATGATAAGGTGCAATCAAAGCGAATATGATTTTTTACAGAACTTTGACTCCTGTCTAGTGGTAATAGGGACGAGTTTAAAACAAGAAGGTATAGACTAACTGTGCTCTTGTATAGACGACAGCATCAGCTAAAATTGTAGCGTCTTAAGCAGTTGTCAATAGAGTGTAATTTGCAACAAAAATTTATAGTCTGATTGATGTGCTGTTGACTGCATACAGGGTGTTAGGTAAATGGGTATATGAGCCGACACTAGCCCATGTTAACATGGTCATATAAATGGTATGGTGAAGTCAGAAATTTGATTCTTCTTCTTCTCAGTCGGTACACTCTTGTCAGAGTGGTCGTGGTCATCATTTTGAATCACGATCAATTCCCGCTGGGATCATAATCTAGTTCAATGAGCACTAGAGTGCATCAGTACCTAAGTTGTACTCGTACAAGTACATGAAATCGCATCTCCCTTTGGTTTGATAGGCCTCTCGCTTGTACTATAGTACTAAACTATAGTAGCATGTGAACAAGGTGGGGTCCATTTATTGATACTAGTGATGTACGTACGCAGTTCTAAATACCGTTGCAGTGTTATCGGTATTTTGATAATTACTTGTTTGACAGTTTTAGAAGGCATTCTTAGGTCTATCTTCATTATTAGTCTCACTAAAATCAATGTTAAAATGTGAAAAACTGATTGATTACACTGCAAGATTAGATATAAAGACAACGCCTAGGTTAGTTCTAGACGATGAACATTATTAGTCTTAAAATAAATAAAACAAGCTTAAAATCCTTCAATATCAGTCTTATCTTTTACCATAATATTGAGGTTAAATAAAAGCAAATTTCAAAAATGAATATAGACCAGAAATAATTAACTAAATAGTCATTTGAGACCCATTCTACTCGTAGGTGTCAGACATTTTTTAATATCACGATGAATATTCTGATGATAATAACCCGGGATTATTAGAGATTGAAACACACAACTTTCGAGCACAATCTAGAAAGTTAAATATAGTTATAGAAAATACGACATCTTGCGACAGATTCAGCATTTGAAATTTACAAACCATCAATAAAATTATCGGCGTTTTCAACAAAGAATAAGGTTTTTGTTGGACTTACAAAAATATTTAAAAGTTTTAGCAATAAAGGTAATCTTGGAATACAGATGCATTCTTTCCAGTGCCACAGTTTCTTCATAACACTTGCGGCAAACAACGCAAAAAATAACCGTTTTTAGCGCAACACACATCACTATTAATTTATTGTTGACCAAGAGACTACATGATTGCCGATTCAGTCCGCACTCTACAGCAGTGAGGACCGCACGTCCCTTCACTAGCGATTGTTTTGAATAAAATAACGGTATCGCGACGTTATTTTTGACAACGATTTTAATTAAGGTATGTTTATTAATTTTGTTTGTTCTGTGAAGTCACTGAAGTTCAACGGGTTAAGTGAACTGCATAAAATGCATGTTTATGTTTATACTGAATTGGTTATTGTTTTATCAGAGATGAGTTGATAAGGATGGGTTAGTAAAATTAATGTTTTGCATTCGATTGTGAGATATGTAATGAAATTATTTATTTACTTATCTTAAGTTGGATTAATTACATAATAAGATTTAGATTTTGGTATTGTGATAGTGTAAAACTTTCCTTAACCTTTGGTCATGAAACATTTTGAATTAAAAAAATACGATGCCTCATTGATTTAGTGGTTTGCATGCCGTGTAAACACGAGTTGTGTTACAGGTTCGAATCTTGGTAGAGCCAAATAAAAAATACAGTGTTTTAATATAAAAAATGACTTACAATAATGTGATACACATTTTCATTATAATTATTATCGATTCAAATTTGTTTTGCAGTTATTTTTATTGCATTTTATTATCTTTAATATCATTGTAGAGCAGGTTTGTTATGAACTTTTCAAAGGTTTTGGATAAATTTGGAAACTTATGTTTTGAAAGATTGTTTTCTGTTTTCATAATATCTTCATTATTTTTATCACATACAATTTTTAATACTAAAGTTTAAAAGGTTACTTAATTACTATTTAACCGATCGACGATCTGGTAAAGGTCGCGGGAAGAGCCTGGATGCGGGCAGCGCAGGACCGTTCATTGTGGAAAACCTTGGGGGAGGCCTTTGTCCAGCAGTGGACGTCATTTGGCTGAAACGAACGAACGAACGAATTACTATTTCCGATCATATTTCCATTATATGGTTGGTATTTGTACTGCCGTGTATGTGTTCCCGTGATTGTAGTAAAAAGTGACTTTGTAACAAATTCGCGATATTCATCCTTGTCAGTATCTAATGACCTAATGACCTAATGACATTATGTTCAGATAGTAATAATATGTCATACTTAAAACACGAAGGTTTGTTATTTCCGGGTATAGTTTCGTAAGCTGTGGTCAGCTGAAATCTGACATTTTACTAATCCTACTAATATTTTACATGTCAATTTCGTGAAGAATAAGTATGAATGAATAGATTTCTGTTACTTTTTCACACAAAAACAAGACTCGATTTTGATGAAACTGAACAATATTATTCTTTCAACAGAATAGCATATAGGCTATTTGTAACGATATTGACCTACTTAGCTAAATTAGATCTTTAAATGTCAAGTCAGTCAAACTAAATTCCATGCGAGTAAAACCACGGGAAAAACCTAGTATGACATAAAGAGCTAGGGCTCGTGATGGAGTTTGATCCGAGCTACCAAGTGGATCAAATTACTTATCAAATTGAATGGAGGACGGTACATTGTATAATATTGTTATTCGTACCTATGCTAATAAAATTTAGCAATGTATGTAATGGGTACAATGGTTATAGAGTTATACCCGTATTCACAAACATTACAATGAGGTCTCACAGTGCCCGTAGACGTACAGAATGACACACGAACCAATCATAGAGCTCTATTCAACGCTGTGCGTTCGATTTGCTGCTTCACTTAAGCAAGCATCGTTTGTGAATACGGGCGTTAGACTTTCGATCTATGCTCTAATGTAGGATTTTCTCTTAGAAGAGGTCCTCTCAAAGATAAACCATGATTCCGGTATATTTTATTTATCTTTCTATCTATTTTTAATCGATTATTATAAAATATGAAAGGTTTTTCAGAGACTTTTTGACCTTATTCAAAACTGTGAAATAATGAATATAGCAGAACTGATTTGAAATTTGAAAACCTTATTACGCTTCACCTTGTAAAGATTCTTCAAAAACAATTCAGCAGTTTTTGCGTGAACAAACCTCAATCTCTTGTAAACAACCACGATAATAATATTAGTACCCACTATTAGTCAGTTATCACTTTACTGATACATTTTTTGAGAGATAAAATCTTCCGCTAAGACCCAGTTTCTTGAACCTTTGTTAAAATAACCAATTGTTTTTATATCAAATGACAGTGGTTAATCAGTAAAATGCGTTTTTCGGACGATACTTAATAAACTTGGCTTTTTTTACCATTGGTAACATGAAAATTGGTTATCTTATTGGTTATATTTTAACTAAACTGGGCCTACGAGTAACTCTATCATTCAATTTGTAACTCTGATTCATTATAACTTCGTTACTTTTAACTATGTAATCTAAATTCTAATCATACACGTATTAGTCTTCAAGTCATTAACTCATGGCCGAGTGCTAATATTAAAAGTGAGAAAGGTATTCTGTCTGTCGATCACGTTATTTTAATGTAAAGTTGCTTCGTTCGTTCGTTCGATCGTTGCTTAGTTTTTAATAAATTTAAAATTCGGTATCCTACCTCTTTTTAACTCAATTATTTATCCTTTATTAAAGAAAATATTTTTTTGGTTTCTAATGACTAAGTGCTTAAGGTCACTGGTAGAGAATACCACCCAGAATTAAGTCCGCCACTGTAAATCAGTATTATGTGCATATCTAAATAAATAAATACGTAAGACATGATTCTACTTGTTACCCACACTACATACCTACATAATATACAACAAAGTCGCTTCACTGTCTTTCTGTCCCTATTAGATCTTTAAAACTACGCAACGGATTTTGATGCGATTTTTTAATAGATAGAGAGATTCAAGAGGATGCAATGGTGGAAAGTGGGGATGCATAACGTTTGAAAGTGTCTGTCGCGAGAAGTGATATTTCTTAGACGCCGAGTGTTAGTTTATTTCTCGTAGTACAATATTTTGCCTTAAGTATTTCTAAACTCCTTTTACATTGTCCACAGAATCCAATGCACGTACCAGGATGACAGAAAAGTCTGGCGTAAGATTCGAAGAAGCGGAGAGAAGACGGGGCCTGATCTTAGCATCCATCGCTATAGTATGCGCTACCGTGGTGTACGTTGTACGAGGCTGCCCCACTCTTATGGGGGGTGTAGCTTTAGTTGCGACGTACCTGATGACAGGGGATAGGTACCAGTGGGTGTATATTTGGAGGAAGACGCTGTCCAGGGACTTTTTGTAAGTGTTTTACTCTTTTCTTTACATTATACCTAACTAAGGCTGAGTTGCACCACCTAATTTTGACCGTAATTTTAACGATAACCTGTGTTTTTTGTATGGAGTTTGACACATTTTTGACGTTTGTCAAAGTTAAAGTAAGATTGGAATCTTAAAATTCTAATTAATTTCGTTGCGACTAGACTAGACTTCCAATGACTTATCCGAGACAAACTTTACCTTCATTGGTTGAGGTTTTATTGGCGGTCAAGCTGCAGATCCTGGCTGCACAGGAGTTGCAGCGGTGGGAACGAGAGGTGGGAATAGTTCCGTAAGTCCGACGTCATAAGAGGCGATCAATGAACATATTATATGCGATCATCAGGCCTCTACAACCCGTCTGGACAGCGTAGGGGTGAAGAAAAAATCCTCCATTTGTTTCTGAAATCTCACATACTATTTCCTGTATTGAATTTGTATTTATGTAAAATTACGAGTGATTAAGGAAACTTCGACATAATTTTATTTAAAAGTATTCAGTATGCATTGATGTAAATGTAGCATCATGTTATTTAATACTTATTTTTACGGTTACAGCCAAGGTAACCTTGTAAGTTATAACTTATGAGTTCTGAGATGTGGGTACATTGTAGTTACTTTTTGTAATGTTACATACTTAATGTAACAACTTCCTTAAGTCACTATAAGCATCATAACAGTTTAACTTAACAAAGTATTACGTAAAGATAAAACTCGTACGTATAAAACAATACTTTCACACCGCGAGCCAATTTCAATACAACGCCATCTATTATCAAAACTTAGAACTAACTACTAATTTAAGTTGCTTGTAGAATATTTCCGATCCAAAGTCCGATCCTTTCAAAACATCAACACAGCGCGTGTCGCACAATGTTTTGTCCGCAACGGAACACTCGGACTTTGCTTGGAATCACAATGGACAGCCGACACCGCGGGTGACCTCTGATAACCGCAGGCGCAACCGTGTTTCTCGATTTTATGATCGCTTGGTACGCAGTCTCGGGTTGCGTGGAAAACTATGGAAGGGATTGAGAAAATTGGATATTTATGGACTTATTTTTACTTGCGTTTATGCCCGCCTGGTACTTTGGTCTTGGGTTGCATAGAAAATTTAACAAAACTGTAAATTTTTAAATTTATGTACGTTCTACAACAATTAATTAATTAAGCATTCAATTTTGAAGTTGCCCTGATTTAAAGTTTCCCAAGGATCGGTACGAGTAGGTTATTGTAGTGAAAATAAGTTTCATAAGCTACATACTCGTACACTTCATCTCAGCAAATTGTTTCCCGAAGCAGTTATAGGTTTAATCCTACTAATCCTACTACTAAGTTTGTATGGATGTCTTTCACGCAAAAACTACTGAACGGATTTTGTTGAAACTTTACAGTATTATTGTTTATAACCCAGAATAACATACTTATACGACGATATGTGACAAACTTTTCAATAAATAGAAAAGATGTGAGAAATATCTATAAAAGCGCCATCTATCATCATTGGTTAAAATAAATAAATAAATATCCTTACGAAACTCTACCCCTAAGGGGGTAAAACGAGGTCCACGCGTACGAAGTCGCGGGCGGCCGCTAGTGTTAAAATAATATTATTATAACGTATTAAATAATAATAGAAAAAATGTTGTTCTGGTGAAGGTCGCGGAAAGTACCTGGATGCGCAGCGCAGGATCGGTCGCTATGAAAATTGTTGGACCTTTATCCAGCAGTGGACGTCATTTGGCTGAAACGACGAATAGAAAAACATGCGCAAAAATTCGCAAATGTCTCAAATAGTGACGACAGCAGCTACGTAGCGCGGCCAATCATCCAATCGTAGCTATCGCTAAGCGCTCGACACCTCTTGTGTCGTAATAGGGTCTATCCGGCCGCGGTCTTGATGCGGTTAGGGGGATAACACAATTAGAAGAAAAATCTAGAAATATTTCTTGATATTACCAGGCCTGTTCATCTCCGCGAGTTTACATCGAAAACAAAACACGCACGATGGCCCACCTACAGGATACTATTCGACAAGGCCTCACATACGAGCGAACATTGACTCACGCACGCGTATTCTTGGGTATGATGGAAGATAATAAAGAAAATTGTGTACTAAATACTGTGCAGTATTTAACTGCCTAAATAATAATAAAAACACAGAATTTACTTTTTTAAGTTGCCTCAAGACACTGAGAGGTAAATAAGTAGTTAATATTATTCATGATAATTCATGCTAAATCATGTATTTCCTCCGCCATTTTCCGCAGTTTGGCACCTCACGTCACATCATTTTACCGAAGTCAGCCCTATAGCTTCGGCGCAGTGCCGATCACTGACGTTTGTCAACAAAATGGTGCTTGACTCTTGAGACAGGCTAAATTACACCATATTGTTAATGATATTGAGCATACATTTTTTTAAATACCTTCGCGAAGTAAAACTTCTGTACGTAGTACTTATTATTATTCTGTGATATTACGCCCGTATTCACAAACGATGCTTGCTAAGTGAAGCAGCAAATCGAACGCATTACATTGAATAGAGCTCTGTGATTGGTTCGTGTGTTACCCTGTGCGTCCACGCGCACTGTGAGAGCTCATAGTAATGTTTGTGAATACTGACGTTAGTCTTTTAGATTGGTATTGTACTTGAACTGTTGCATATTATCTAATGCAGTCTACTCTCCAAATCGCCGACTCGCCGACTAGAGTCGTCCACTTTTGACATGTTGTTGAACGTTGAATCATCATCATCATCAACATTTCAGCCATAGGACGTCCACTACTGAACATAGGCCTCCCCCAATGAATAATTAATAATTAATAACGTTGAATGATTCTTTTGAAATAAAGCCGCCGGCACCAGGTCACTGGGCTGTCGGCAGGCTTGGTATTTAGAGTCCTTAAGACTAAGGCTGGCTTGCACCACCAAACTTTGACCGTAACTATAACGATAACCGGTGTTTTTTGTATGGATTTTGACAGATTTTTGGCGTTTGTCAAAGTTAAAGTAAGATGGTGCAACCCAGTCTAAGAGTAACACAACGATGAACTACAGAACTTTACTACCAACTGCTAATTAAATTTTTAATCTTGTCTGCGCTTTAGGTAATCAACTATTGATTGTTCAATTAAAACTCAATAATGGCATATTAACTGAAGTCTGGCAGTCTTTTAAAACATCATAGAGCATAATTTTAGGTAGGCTTGGTTGAAAATTTATCTATCAGAAGAACTATTTTAATTTTGAAAACCTTAACTTATTTATGTGGAATTAAGAAATGTCAGGACATTTTTTGCATTGATATTAACATTACCTTACTAATAATACAAATGCGAAAGTTTGTATGGATGTCTGGATGTCAACATGTTTGTTACTCTTTCACGCAAAATCTACTGAACGGATTTTGATGAAACTTTACGATGTCACTGTTTATAACTCAGAATAACATAATTTATGACGATCTGTGACAAACTACATTTCAGGCGGGTGAAGCTGCGAGCAAAAGCTAGTCTGACTATAAATTATCATTAATTTTAGCAGTATGGATACGTCCTTTGTATTATTATGTGACTGTGCATAACACCCATATTTATACGAGAGGTACTGTACTAATTAAATCGTTTAAATATGGCGGGTCGAGTATCCTAACCATAAACAAAGTGACGTCAAGGCTAGTTCAGTGATTCGTCCCACAACAGGTTTTTTAGATTTTCTATGTTGATTTCCTTTTAAATACAGACATTGTTAACATTCATGTTTTCTTTTATTTCATTGACTTTCTGACGGTACTAAATCTCATTATGTTAAAGAATAAATAAAATGGGACGAATCCAGAACGAAAAACATATTTTATATTTTTTTGAATTCAGTGTTTCGTCCCAGTGGGACGAACCTGTTGTGGGAAGAATCACTGAACTAGCCGACGTCAAAATATTTATCATCGTCAGGTCATTTAGTCTCCAATCTAACTTCATTCGTTCCTTCTGAACAAGTCCACTCAGGATTTCCACAGCGACCGGTCTTGAGCTGCCCGCATCCAGGTGCTTTTCGCGTCCTTTTCTAAACTCTAATTTACTAGGCAATAAATCAAAAATCAAAATCAAAAATATTTATTCAGTTTAGACCACAAGTGGCACTTATGAACGTGAAAATGTAGTTAAAAAGAAAAATGAAAAGGTAGCCCTTATGGGGCACTTTACATGTGTCCTTATCTTTTGGGCCCTACCAGCGCGCTGCAGCGCTTCGAGACAAACATAATTATGGCAAGTGCTGAGAAGAAACGCAGGAACAAACTCAGTCACCACTAATTGCCAGGAATTATCTAACGGTAAGAAGAATAACCAAATTCAAGTACATCAAATATGTGCAGATTAAACTGACCACGCATCATTGTCATCAATATAGTTAATAAAGGGTTTGGTCTACTATACTATCTCCAAGTCAGTCCAGACGAATTGAGAAGGCCTAATATTTTGGCCCTTAGTCGCAATTTATGACTTACACGGAAAGACTGGGAGTGTCCCTACTCCACCGGAACACGGAACTACACGTCTTATTTATAGTACAGAAAACTATTTGGTATTTCACGTCTGAAACTTTGTTTTTTTGCACAAGATTTTGCAGAAGACAGAAGCTTTTGATTTAATTACTAATCAATGGCGTTGTTACTGTTAGGTTCCTGATACTATCTACCCATTATGAGTCAGTGAATAGTTACTAAGTCCGGTCACTGATTTGATCAGGGTCATTATTTTGGAACGTAAAAATTCAACGTAAAAATTGTTCGTGACATCCATACGTATGTACAACAAAGTTCACGTAAGTACAGGTTTGTTAGGACGGTTCCCGCAGAGGTACATCTGCTTGTTCTGGCTATTGGACAACTTGTAAATCTACCTACATAAAATTTGTTAATTTCTCATGTAAGTGACTGTAATGTTTTTAATGAGAAATAAATGTTCTTTAAACCTAACCAAAGTAGCCAAAAAGTTCGCAATACGTCTTTGATACAACTCGATTAAGAGCGTTTACGCGAAACGCGGCGTTCCAAGGGGCATCATTGGAAATGATTCGCGCGCGGCGTTTTTTAATAGTTTTCAAATGTTTATATAAAAACAATAACGATGAATTATATATCGTTTCAAAGTAAATATTTTAAAGAAGATGTTATTTTATTATATTAAGCTATTTTTATGTTGAATTAAAGAAGAATAATGGTGTAAAAATCACTTTGATTTTTTGGTATTTCACGTTCTTTGAATTTGTGATTTCTTATTGTAAAATGCTTAAATCTAAGAATTTTCTCAACTAACTATTTGCCTAAGGACCTATGCTATAGGATATAAATGTTTGTTATATCGTTTTCACAGTATTTTTATAAAAATTTCAGCTTGTAAACTGACGCTAAAGTGGAAATTTGAAAACCTGTGTGGACTTATCTTGATATAATTCTTAAATACTATACTAATCGAAATATTTTCTCAACTAACTGTTTAGACGACAAAATTGCCTAATTATTTATGCCTATAACATATTTGTAATGTAACTGGTTAATGATTGTTCGTTCGTTCGTTTCAGCCAAATGACGTCCACTGCTGGACAAAGGCCTCCCCCAAGGTTTTCCACAATGAACGGTCCTGCGCTGCCCGCATCCAGGCTTTTCCCGCGACCTTTACCAGATCGTCGGTCCACCTAGTAGGAGGCCTGCCCACGCTACGTCTTCCAGCCCGTTAATGATTGTAACGGGTTGAAAAAGTACTGTTTTTGCGCCAAACGGCGTAAACGCTCTTAACCCGGCGTCAATGACGCTGGGTCATATTGACCCGAGGCATTTTCAAACGTTCATAATTTTTTTTTGCGTCCATTTTGTGGTTCGAGCGTTCGTATAGCTGGAGATACAACCTCCCTAAGTCCATTCCGTTAGTTAACTCAGTGTGACTCCGCTTGCGTAGCGAGATACACAGGCTTCAAATTAAAACGGGTCATTATGACCCGGCGTCATCGGTGGCGCGGTGATTTTGTGGCTTACTTTTATTCGCTTATTTTGTGTTTAGTGCTAGTTTATGTTGTTCTTTTTTAAGTTTTTAGTCAAAATGTCTTTGTTAAATGACCCAGCAAGAATAAAACGTTGCTAGAAGAGTCCGATTCCGAAAGTAAAGAATTTCAGACTGTAATAGCCAGAACGTAAAAATGACAACAAAAGTGAAAAGACGCAAGTGATTTTTTTTTCTTCCAATTACTTATTGTAAAGAAAACGTAATAACTTTTAAACTAAGCGGTATATCCTGATAAAATAAAAACAGTAACAATGCTAAATAACAGGCAATACTAAAAAAATACATAAAATACACAAAAAAGGCCAACAAATAATAAAAAATGATACTTTTTGAAAAAAATCTGCTTTAAAATTCGTGTTTTTTTGGTTATTTGATAAATTTCTCCAAAAAATGCCCCTATAACAGGTGGTTTTTATTACTTTGTATTATTCTCTATCGTATTATCTTTGTAAAACCAAAAATCGCATGTCTCTATCCCTATTACAACATTTGCTATGATCGTTTGAACAAAGGCCTGCCACAACATTTTTCTCCGCTACAGTTAGAGACAATTTTAATTTTAACTAAAATGCTTATTTTACTTTGAAATCTTTTGTTTTTATTTGAAATCTAACTTGTCTTTATCAAAATAACAAATCTAGAGCCATTTTCAGTTTCGTTGTTAACGAAGCGTTGAATGGCGCGCCCGGAGAGGCTTAGTTCAAACGATCATTGCAAACGTTGTGATAGGGATAGAGACATGCGATTTTTGGTTTTACAAAGGTAATACGATAGAAAATAATACAAAGTAATAAAAACCACCGGTTATAGGGGCATTTTTTGGAGAAATTTATCAAATAACCAAAAAAACACGAATTTAAAAGCAGATTTTTTTCAAAAAGTTTAATTTTTTATTATTTGTTGGCCTATTTTATGTATTTTATGTATTTTTTAAGTATTGCCTGTTATTTAGCATTATTACTGTTTTTATTTTATCAGGATATACCGCTCAGTTTAAAAGTTATTACGTTTTCTTTACAATAAGTAATTGGAAGAAAAAAAATTCTATAATTTTTTTTAAAAAAATCTAAAAAAAATTTTGACCTCCTTTTTGTCGATAAAAATAGGTCTAGTTTCATCTTTTTTCATATGTACACTTTAACGTGACTCACACTGTATACATGGACAGTAATTAAAATTAAGATTACTTGTTCAATTTCCTAAAAAGTGATCGATGAAATTAGGGTCAATATGACCCGGGGTCATCGTCTTTGAAATTATTTTCACGTCATTGGCGCCGGGTTAAGGTTGTGCTGTCAAATTGGCTACTTTGGGTCTATTACGTGATGAAATATTTGACGCTGAATGTACAAGAAGTAATTATTTAGAATCATTAGCGTTCGTTGAAGCAATTTTTATGAAGACGTCATACTCTTCCCTTTTACTATGGCGTATCGTACGATACCGGCGGACGCGCAGTTTAAATCGTGAGAGTAAGTGCTAAGACCTTGCCGCGTCCTGCTCTCCTGGTAACGAATTCGTAGTCACGTGTACAGACTAGACATTGGTTCCCAAAGTGGGGGGTGCGCCCCCCTTTATAAGTCTTTGCGCAGGGGAGGCACAAATACCTTTAGGCTGGTTTTAGTGTCACGCGGACCGTCCGGTGCGGACCCGCTCCGCACGGCCAATCTGTATGAACTTCTAGGGAGCGTTTTAGAGTTCCACTCCATAGCAGTTCATACAGATCGGCTGTGCGGAGCGATCCGCACTGACAGTCCGCGTGACACTAAAACCAGCCTTTAAGGGGGGCGCGAGCCATCTGTGTACTTAAGTATAAAAAACCTGCGACCGCTGAGAGAATGCATTCCAGACTGCTCGATACCAATAAATAATCTTGACTGGAGGAGGGGGGGCGCGGAATTTTTTGTATGGTCGAAAGGGGGCGCGTCTTAAATAAGTTAGGGAACCAATGCACTAGCGGAATGCCATGGCTTTGTGTGGTAAATTAAATTATTACGATGCATACATCGAGAGAGTATACAAAGATCTTCGAGTCCTGCTCTCCTGGTAACGAATTCGCAGTCACGTGTACGTACCTACACACACACCTAGCGGTCGTTGTTGATTAGAAAGAAAAATGCACATAATGCAGTAGGAGTTTATTCCAAAACATGTTTTATTAGCGCTATAAAAATCTTCTCAGAAACACGTCGCTATTGATCGAGAAAAATTAGCACATTCATCTGCATTTTAAAACGATACGACAGTAATACGACTTTAGTTTTGAAAGTAAAGTCAGCGTCATATAGTTCGTGACACGCAAAGAGACCAAAAAGTTGATAACACAACCTTATATTTTATCCAAATATTATTAATCCAAATGTAACAAAGATGATTGTGTTGTGACCTTTTTGGCTACGTTGGGTGTCACGAACTATTTGACGCTGACTGTACTTCAAAACTTTTATTATGCTGGGTTGCACCATCTTATTTTAACTTTGACAAACGTCAAAAATCTGTCAAACTCCATACAAAAACACCGGTTATCGTTATAGTTACGGTAAAAGTTAGGTGGTGAAACTCAGCCTAAAAACCTTTTTGGAAAATCTTAACGGACGTTCAAATATAACCAGCTGTATTACAATGACACCTATTCAATTTCACAGAGGCCTACGAGTTCTTCTAAAGACCATGTTCCAAGTATGGGTTTGGGAGAAGAACGGAACAACTGTGGTGTCCAGATGGGCGGAGGTGGCCAAGCAGTTTCCTGAGAAGAAGGCGTTCATCATGGAGAATAGGGCACTGACATTTAGAGAGGTGAGATAGGATTCTTATACCTTTAGACTGAAACAGGCATATTGATAGAAGTCGGTAGTCTACACCAGTGTTTTTCAACCTTTTTCATGACGCGACCCCTTGCATGAAAAAAATGTTTGCGACCCCCCGACCGTTCGCTTTTTTTTCATGCCTTTTACAAAGATGTTGTAGGGACCGAATTCTTCAATCTATACAACATTTATGCATTTGCATAGTTAGATTTCGGATAAATCTAGCTTTTAAACTTCTCTGGCTTTTTTACTGAGGTAGTTTTTACGACCGCTCGCGACCCCCCTATAGAGGCTTCGCGACCTCCCAGGGGGTCGCGACCCATAGTTTGAAGAACACTGGTCTACACCCTTGCCGATGAACTTCGCCTTAAATGGCTTTACTGGTGGTCAACATAATAATATAATGTCCTTAAGCTGGTTATTCTGGCTACACAAGAGTTGCAGCGGTGGGAACGAAAGGTGGGAATAGTCCCATACACCCTTACCGTTGTGCTTTGAGTCTCTGTTTGTGAATACTTTATTTGCGTCTAGTAAATGAGAGAGGTTCGTGCTGGCGATGATTATATTTATACGCCTTTGGTGAGGTGCCTTTGTTTTTTTTTTCATCGGGAAATGCTTTGCGCATACCCACTGATCTATGAGGACGGCCAGTGGGTTATGTGGGACTCTCCCCGCCTACCCACTAAAGGCGGGGCCTACCCACTAAAGGCGGGGCCTACCCACTAAAACCCGACGGTTTCCACCAGATCCCAAAGAAACGGAGGCGCGAGTTTTTGTCCTGGTTGGACATTCGTCCGCAGCTCCGCCTCAGGCTAGAGGCTCGCTCGAGCGAGCCTCTCTGGCTTCGAGGGAACCCCCAATCCCCTCCTCCAGTTGATTTTAAGGCCTCAGCCTCGAGTTTAGCGGGCAGCGGGGCGAGAGCGGCGGCGGCGCTTTTCTCTTCGCGGCCCTGGTAAAACAGAACCCCCGGCCCGCCGTTTTGATTGATTGATTGATTGATTGCTGCTCGGTCAGCTGATCAGAGAAGTATCGAGAGCGGCCCTCCGAAGAATGGGCCCGGGCAAACGCCCCGCCAGCCCCCACCTGTACCATTGATAGTTAATTGAATGAAACTGCTTAGACGTTATTTAGTTGAGTAATTTTATGTAGAAAAGACTATCAAAGTATTTTCGCAATTAATCGTGGTAGATAGCTCGCGAAAGGCGATTGATCCCTTTCCTAGTTGATAATAGTATGTTATGACCTTTAAAATACTAACCTTTGATGTACATTTATTATGGATCATTATGCTGCATTATTATATGATTTTGAGAATCCCATCATATCCAGACTCAATCCTGTTTACAATAACTACGGCTTATAGTTTATAGCTGATAAGAAAAATAATCTTCTATTTTCGATTTCACGTTAAGCCTTGCCGGTACAATCTCACGTATTACTAGGTCTTTAGGTACATTGACATTAATGAATTTGGTGGATTATTTTGATAATACTGATAAGTTTCTAATCATATGATTGATAACGATATTATGCAACAAAATCTTCTTTCTTATCGATTTATTGTATAATATACACTATGGGTAGTATCAATAACCATAGTGATATAAGTAAAGGTCCTTAACCTGTAACAAGGAGACAATGTTGAGTTTTATCTCCAAGCGTATGTAAACAGATAAACGCAATCCCACGCGAAGTGAACGTCATACTTTAGAGTAGGCGCACACCGTTGATTTTTCGTCGGCCGATAGTTTAGTCGGGCAGTTGATCAGTATGGGCATGTATGGGAGTGCGCACACTACGCCGATTTGATTTGGCCGATTCTTCATACAATTTAAAATCGGGCACAACTATCGGCCAACTAAAAATCAACAGTGTGCGCCTACTCTTAAGCTGTGGTCAACATTGAGAGGACACTTACTGAAGTGCAATACTAGTTACTAATATTCTTGTTAATCTACGAGTGTATATCTATAAAAGCGAAAGGTCACTGACTAACTGACTCACTAACTCATCACGAAATCTCAGAAACTTCAAGTGCTAGGAGTATTAGATTTTGCAAGGGGTTCCTTTTAGAACGTAGGTGCTGAGACAGGATTTTGCAAAATTCAACCCCTAAGGGGGTAAAACGGGATCCACGCGTACGAAGTCGCGGGCGACTGCTAATAAGTGATGTAGGAGAGGGTTCATCACAATAGTTGATCGGACGACGAGGATCTACAGACCCTCAAGACTAGCCTTACAATGTTGGGCTTTTGTGTCTTATAGATATGCGAAAGTAGCTCTGTCTTGAACCTTTTCGTGCTTAAACCACTAAACCGATTTAAATGAAAGGTACAGAGATAGTTTGAAACTCAGGGAAAAAAACAAAGAATCAGTTTTATACAGGTTCTTGAAAGGGGGACACAATTGCGCAATCAAGAAGGAAAGAAAAAGAAAAGAAGAACATAACAGAACAGAGAGTCAGAGAACAGAAGACTCTGTGACAAATCGAAATTCTCGCGGGCGAAACAGCGGACAAAAAATCACACTAGCTAAAATGTTGTTTGCTCTACTAACTCTCTCTTCTATCTACAGCGAGAAGAATTTCTCTATCCTTCTCTTATCTTCTCCAGGGCGACGAATTCAGCAACCGTATCGCGTGGTACTTCAAACGGCAAGGTTTCAAGAGTGGGGAGGTCATAGCCCTCTTCATGGAGACTCAGCCGGAGTACGTGTTCCTTTGGCTAGGACTCGCCAAACTGAAGGTCACTACAGCGCTGGTGAACACCAGTCTGAGAGGAGCACAGCTGATACACTGCCTCAGGATCGCTGGTTGTAAAGCTGTGGTGTTTGGGGATGAGATGAGTGATGGTGAGTACACTTTATTTGATTTCACTGGTTGGGTTTTTATTGGCGGTCAAGCTGTAGATACTGGCTACACAGGAGTTGCAGCAGTGGGAACGAGAGGTGGGAATAGTCCCGGACTATATTTGAACAACAAAATACCTCTTTGTAGCTGTTTAAATTTTGTTATTGTGAGTGTAAGACTTGTTATTGTCTATTGATTCTATAGTTGAAAAGACTAGTCTACTTTTGACTACAAGATAATTGTTGTAGAGGAGTGCTGTTGATTGTTACACAGTTCCCAAGAAAAGTTTATACATATTTCTTCAGTCATTTTCACACCGCACCGGCTATTCCACAGTATGCAAAACTTGTGCTATTATTGGTACTAGACAATAGAATGTAAACATAGGTACTTAGTTATTCTACATCATAAAGACCTTGATCTATAGTTATTTACATTGTGCGGTAATCAACCCCACCACCTATGGCATAGTAGGTAGGTAGTCTGGTATACTCGACAGCACATCAGGTTACCCATTATTGTTGCAAACTCACCACTATTACAACTGCACTAGAACCCACAGTGGTTACGTTGGCGTGCCGTCGTCTGTACATTAACGTCAAGACAGTCAAGATCACATGGGTTCATTATCTTATAAGACGTAAAGGTGGCGGTTCGCACCGCGACACCAGATAGGAAACCGAAACACAAGATCGAGATGGGAGACTGCAACCGTTATTTGACTAACGCCCGATTTCCATAATCGATCTTTAATCCAAAGATTTTAGCGATCTTCAAATCTTAATCTAAGAAACCAATTTGTAGATTGGTCTCCTACCTGCTTCCCAATAATGTATCTCAAGAGCCGCAATCGTTTGATCTGCTCGGATAGCCCAGCAATCTTTTCCCTAAGACAGATACCTATCTGTCTCTGTCTTTTGTCTCTGTCTCGCTCGTAAACTGACGCTTCTTCTTCTTGTCGTGTCGCCAACAACCCTACACAGCGTCAGCCCAAAACTCCGCCACAAGAATGGCGTTGTCTGTAGCCTTCATTAAATCTTCCTGCGTGCAGTTGTGGCACACAGGGCACGACATAATGTGCTTCGTCGACTGGGGAACAAAACCACAAGCACTCCAAGTTTGAGCCATTAAGAATCCCCACCTGAACAAATTGTCCTTACTACGGCCGACCCGTGCTGAACTAATGCTTATACCACGGTACTAATATATTGTCTAAAATCAAGTGGCAGTCGCGGTCTCATAGCTCGGTCTCCTGTCTCTATAGCGGCATGAGCGCCACCTTTAAACGATATCCGGCTAAACATCCTAACTAAGAGTAGTTAGGATCTTTAGCCGGCTCTACATATTATAACTGCAAGCAAAACTGAATCTTAATTAAATCCAATTATGTTTACTCTTTCAGCAATAAAACAAATCCAGAACGAGATCAGGGACATACCCCTCTTCCAGTTCAATTCCCCCGAGCGGTCCGAAGCCCCACTCATAGCGGACACAGTGCCTCTAGCGGCTGAAATCAACGACATGGCTCCGGAACCTTTCCTGGACCCTGAACCATCTAAGCCCAGAGATACGTTGCTGTATATTTATACCAGTGGGACGACTGGGTTCCCGAAGGCTGCTATCATCACTAACATCAGGTAAAGAAAAATGAAACTTACTTATGATACTTTGAACGTTTCGGAACTTCTTTTGCTGATGGTCCTTGCTGCACCTAAAACTTTTCTGCATGAAATATATGATTACTATTATGTGTATATTGAGTATTGTCCAGTCTTGTCGAGTCAGAGAATACACCAAAAGATAGATCGTATTATTTGGTCATAAAATATCCTCCATTTGCGTTTAAATTACCTGATGATTATGACGATGATAATGATTTAAAAAGACATACAGTTCAGATTATTACTTTCACGCGGACGAAAAATGGGAGATACCTACTCGTATCATATTCGAATGCGCTCTTTATTTGTTTGCGAACGTTTGTCATAAAACAATTGCTTCTTTTCCAGGTTCCTACTAATACCGCTAGGTGTCCACAAGTCAGCCCAGCTCAACTCCTCAGACATCATCTACGATCCTTTGCCTCTTCATCACACAGCTGGAGGTGTTCTTGGAGCTGGACAAGCAGTGGTTCTTGGATGCACAGTGGTGCTGAGGAAGAAGTTCTCAGCTTCGAATTACTGGAAGGATGCTGCTAAATATGAGTGCACGGTAATATTTACAGATGATAAATTAATTACATTTTATCTGCAAATCATAAAGACTTCATGGGACACTCGCACGAAGTGTTACATACCTACCTTGTGTTGTTCCTAGATTGGGTAAGATCGTGAATATGCTAGAAGGCAAGTTAAGAACTTGGCGAACAATGAGATCTCAAACTTATCAGGGCTTCCATGGCCGGCATAGGAAGTGTAAATTAGAGAGGTTTGTCCTCCTGCAGTGGAGACAAAATGACCCCATGGTTATGGACAGGACATTTCTAATTATAAATTGTATAAATAGAGACCGTCCTGGTCACTTATTTTTTATTTATCGCTGCCTATTTCCAAAGATTAATGCACTACAAGGAAGCAGGAAGGCGCTGGATGCAGGCCACTACCAATTGGCCAATATGGACATCATTGGGGGCGGCCTATGTTCAGCAGTGGACGTCATATGGCTGAAATAATATGAATAACCCAATCTATCAATCGTGGTCTAAGTTTCCAAAGACCAAAACGCTGATGCTAGTGAGTTACAAACCTCTCACTTTTAATATTTTCACCCATTTGTCTTTTACAGGTAGCCCAATACATAGGCGAGATCTGTCGCTACCTGCTAGCTGTTCCTCCCAGCGCCTCCGATAGGGCGCACAAAGTGAGGGTCATGGCGGGCAACGGACTCCGACCACAGATCTGGGAGGAGTTCGTCGAGAGGTTCGGAGTGCAGAGGGTGCTGGAGTTCTATGGGGCCACTGAAGGGAATAGTAACCTTGGTGAGTTAGAAAGAATTAACCTACCCTACAGGCTCTTCGAAACCAAAGTGCGCCTCTCAATATGGGGTATTTTAACTTGTCAAATTGTTTGCTCCACTTTACATCAAGATATTTTAAAAAGTATGAGACTTACGGTATTGAAATTTGGAACATATTCTGCAACTAATGTACGAGTAGTTGCATAATAACAAGCGCATTTTACACTTTTAATTTGCAATTTTAATGTTTTTTGTCGGGAACCGTGATTTTCTGGGGGCACGGCAGTGCCCCCACCAAGTCGAGCAAAAAAGCGGCACGGCCGTACCATCCTTTTCTCAAAGCAATTCAGGCCATTTTCGACCGCCTGTAACTTCGTTGTGGATAAAACTAGAAGGCTGAATTTTCATTAGCTATGCAGGCATTGTAAAGACACGGTATATTTAAAATTTCATTCAATTTGAACCAGTAGTTTAAGAATTATAACGGGTCAAAGTTACTTAATTTTGTCACTCACTGACTCACTGACTGACTCACCGATCATCAAAATTCTAAGGCACTTCTAGCAGACCTAGAAGCTTCAAATTTGGAATATAAGTAGTGTTTGGTGTATGAATCAAGGAAAAACTAAAATATTTGGGGGCACGGTAGTGCAACCGCCAAGTCGAGTAAAATTTTTCAATTTCGGTCCAGTTTTCTAGATACATAACTGCTGTCTACAAAATACAAAAATAAATGAGATCCATCAAAAACAATACTTGTCAAAAAAAACAAGTCTCGCAACTCAGTTGTTCTACGCTAAAAAGTTGTGAGATCCATGTAATACCAAGTCCAGGCCAGGAAATCTTTAACGTTTTACATAAATATATTGACTTGGCCATCGCATGAAAACACGTGTAAATTAAATTATTTAGTGCGATGGCCAAGTCAATAATTTATGTAAAACGTTAAAGATTTCCTGGACTGGACTTGGTATTACATGGATCTCACAACTTTTTAGCGTAGAACAACTGAGTTGCGAGACTTGGTTTTTTTGACAAGTATTGTTTTTGATGGGATTGTCTTTTACAAAACAACAATAGATGCCACCCGTATTGAGAAGAGTGACTTTTGACTTGGCAACAATAGGTGTTTCCCGTATGTAAGAGGTTAATAACAGAATGATCTTCCAGGAGACAAGTTATACGCAGTTTAAGTAAATTATACTCTTAAATTTTGGTATTGTCTTTTTTTGCTAATTGACATTTTTTTGCTTGTTCAACGTTCAAACGCTTGCAGACCTTACAGTTGACCCAAAAAAATCTTATTATAAAAAGCATAATCTATTCAAAATAATTCTGCCCGCATCACCTACGTTATTTGTTTTGTTTTTTCAGTGAACTTGGATTCCAAAGTGGGTGCCATAGGTTTTCTCAGTCGGATGGTGTCGTCAATCTACCCATTAACTTTAGTCAAGTAAGTTGTCTTTATACAAAAAAATGTATCAATCAAGATCAGCTTTTATTCTTAACAGCAAGTCGGAGTTGCCTTGCTTGATCAATCTTTTCCTTTGATCAGGCGAATGCATCATTATCTCAGTCATAGGACGTCTATTGCTGAACATAGACCTCCCCCAATTTGCTGAATGCTGCTTCGTTCGTTCGTTTCAGCCGAAAGACGTCCACTGCTGGACAAAGGCCTCCCCCAAGAATTTCCACAAGGACCGGTCCTGTGCCGCTCGCATCCAGGCGCCTCCCGCGACCTTCACCAGATCGTCGTTCCACCTAGTGGGAGGCTTGCCCTGCCTGCCTAGTGAAATGTTGCTTGCTACATCATTATTATAGTTATCTAGTACTACTTTATTAATTTACTGTTATAAAGAAACGCTCAATTTAATATCTACAGATGTGACGAGATCACAGGTGAAATTCTAAGAGACAGCAATGGAAGGTGCATCAGATGTGGGCCTCATGAACCAGGTTAGTTTTGAAAAACATTATAAACCAAAAGTGGTACTGACTGATAAGAAATTACTAGTAATCACAGATAAAAATGTTAACGCATAACCTGAAATCACCTTTTTAGGATTTGATGTAGAAAGAAGCAATTAAACTCATTTTTACCGCTGTGGCCAATTTTGAATCATCTAGATAGTAACCTTCAATCAAATAGATAGTAACCTTAAATTGGGTATGTACAATAATGCACGTATGTATCAACGTGGGTAAACAACATAATGAGTCGTAGAGATACAAATGAAAGATAAAATAGACCTGACAATAAAAATATCATCAACAATCAGTCATGAACTGTATCAATTTAATCAATAAAAATCAGACTGATATTCTTTGTTACTAACTTTAATTTTATTACACTTTTAATGAGGATAATTTCAATGAAGATATAAACTTTGTACACGAAACAAATAAGTCTTAAAATTAGAGTAGATCCCAGATTTCATAATCAACATTTATCACGTAATTATAAGAACAAATTACCAACAAATTAGGCAAATACAGGTAATATAGGTAACATTGAATGTTATCTATCCGTGTATCGCGTTAAAACCTGTTAAATTAATTAAATTAAACAACGCGAAAATTTAAAATAAAAAAAATACTAACTATGGTCAAAGATAACATAACTATACCGGTCGGACGCCTCGAAGGCCCATCCTCGCGCTTACACAATATAGTTACCGTCTTACTAGTCTATATGAACTTTTATTTATAAAAACCTACGAACCCTGCTACCGAGTATAGAGCGCCGACAATAGAGTACGAAAATATTAAATGGCGCGTATTTGTATAAAAAGTCAGTCTTAAGTAAATAGTGGAGTGCTAATAGACTGATGAATGATGATTCTACATTACTGTCTGAACTTTCTATTACAGGAGTCCTTTTAGGCAAGATAGATCCAAAAAAAGCCATTCTTACATTCGCTGGATACGCCGACAAGACCGCTTCAGAGAAGAAGATGGTCAGAGACGTGAAGGTGGATGGGGACTGCTACTTCAACACTGGAGATATTCTTGTGATGGACCACTTTGGCTACTTCTACTTTAAGGATCGGACTGGGGATACTTTCAGGTAAGTTCAAGAACTAACATGATTCTTCAAAATTCTGCTTAAAATCACACATTGCGGGATCTCCACTCTAAGGTCTTTCTGGTCCAGCTTTAGTGGCCCTGCCCATCTCATCATCATCATCATCATCATCATCATCATCATCATCATCATCTCAATCTCTTTCACCTCACTGACCCCCGTCTTTTCACTGATCCACTCGGCGCAAGAGGATGAACAGATGACAATCCGGCAACATGCTGGAATGAACTGGATCCAAGTGGCCGGAGACAGAAGTCGGTGGAAGGTTGAAGTAGTAGCCCTTTTCGAAGACGAACCCAAAAGCTGTTATTGATACATAGATAAGACATAATCATCATCGTCATCCTCATCAGGTCATTTAGTCTCCATTACAGGAGCATGACCCACTCTAATTTACCAAAGGCAAAATTGAGCATTTGGCGTATACTCCACACGCTGGCCAGATGGATTGGGAAGTCCTGATGTTCTTTTAATAGGGATGTTTCCTGGGTCAAAAAGCAAGAGTTTTAATTAGTCCGTCAGTTAACTTATCGAAAAATACTCTACACGTATTTTTCACTTTTTCAAACTAATGAAAATTTAAAGAGATAAAGCGCGCCAAAGTTCATAAGAAGAGGCCCGTGACGTCAATGCTTGCATAAAAGTGCCGCACGTTGTGACGTCGTGCGCAACTTCAACGCACCATAACTATGTAATTATTTGTTAGATTGACAAATAAAAATATATGTGTCCAATATTTTTTGATATTAAACATGATGGACTAAAAAATTTTTTTTAGGAAACTAGCCTATTGTCGCCTTTTACGACACCCACGAGAAGAGTTGGAGTGGTCATATTATTTATGGATATTTCTCATCGCCACGGTTCTCATCGTCACCTTCGTGGCGAATTTTATTTCTAACTTATTTCAACTTTTTGTAAACAAAAATTGTAGCGCTTGATATGAAGATTGTATTCTCAGTAAATCAGGCAAATAGTGAGTCTCGTTTGGAAACTTTAACGTTTTGAATTTTTTGATGCCACGAAAGTGATTCTGTACTTCACAGCAATAATTTTTTCAAACTTTATTACTGTAAATGACTCTTAAGTGTTTATAAAACATATATTTTGTCTTATTTTCATAGATAAATAGCAATAACATAATATAAATAGGTACCTACTTAAACACAAGATAAAATTTTACCGATTACGTCACCTATTAAGTTACAAGATTCTACGCAATTGGTTTTAAGGGTGATACTGGTGGCATTCTGAAATGCTAAAGAAGCAAAAAACGGATTATCAGTACCTCAATAAAAAGAACTCTAACTGATTATCAGTCCCTCAACAAAAATATATTTTTTATTTAGGCCAGAGGGCCTCGTATTTTTGTTGTACAACTTTTAACTCAAACTTCAGATTAAATTTATCTTACAAACAGATACACAGTCACATATACAGACATACAGACAGATAACAAAAATACCCTTATTTATTTATTGATGTACTGCACTCTACTTACCACGTATAATTTATTAATTATTAAAATATTGTAAAAACATAAACACCAGTCACTATATTTTAAAATAAACCAAAGCAAGAAATCACTTTCGTGGCCTAAAATCACCTTCGTGTATAAAACACCACGAAGGTGATGCCACGAAGGTGACGAAAATTTTAGTTTTTTATGAATTATCCTTAAATTTGAATTTAACGGTTCAAGTCGAATACTACACAAATAAGTCTAACATGTTAAGTTTTCAATGGCAAAGTTTCAATTAAATTGTTTAAATTTTAGAGGTAGAAAATATTGTTCAAGCAAGCGACGGTATGTCTATGGATATTCACAAAAAGTTACGTATTTTTTTCCCGGAGCGACGATCGACCTATCTCACCTCCCCAATGGCCGGAGCGCGACTAACGTTAACCGAATAGAACACTGTGATTGGTTGCTGATGTTCAGTTTAACGGCAATCTTGTATTATTACTCAAAATTTTAGGTACCTAAAATCGTGTGACCAACGTATTTCGCTTTCTCAATTCAAAATAATTATAAGAAGATATTTTTTTGACTATTGTGTGGAAAGTATATTTAATTACGATAATTTTAGTATATGCTACACACAAATTGAATGAAAATTGTGAATGCAGTAACCAAATGTTCAATTGCAACCGAAGGTGTGACACGATGAGAACGCGAAAAATCACCCCGTTTTTTATCGTTTCATGTGATTTTTTCGTATTATTTTTGCTTCTATTACGATAAAATTTATATTGTATGTAGCTAAATAGATATTTTATCATCTGATTTCAAAGTTATTGTTCTAACTTATACCGTTTATGAACTATTATTGTGTGACCATCAAATTTGAGTGTAAATGAGAAGTACCCTTATGTACAGTCGACAGCACATCAGACATTTTCGTTGCAAAGTCGCCCCTATCGCAAATACGTAAGATACCACAGTGTTTACGTTGACGTGCTGTCACTGTACCTACTCTACTCTGCCAAAACTGATATTATGCAAGTATTCTTGCAAAATCAAAAAAGGAAAACAAAAATTAAGACACAAGCTATTTATGTCTTTAGAATCAATAAATTGTGGTTAATCTTCAAGGTGGCGTGGTGAAAACGTATCGACAGCTGAAGTGGAAGGTGTGATCAGCTCTTTGATTGGACTCAAGGATGCAGTGGTTTATGGGGTAAAGGTAAGTTCATGAAACAGCGTCACAAATTAATCTTTGTTTGTTTTTTCTTCTTCTTTGTCACATTTCTAGTTTTAACTTTATGAGACGCTTTTTGAGCCATATTAATTTAAATTGTCCCATATTAATTTCATAGTTCACAGCAGACTTATCAACTCGGAAAGGGATCAACACCGTATCGCCTTTTGCGAGCTGTCATCGCCTTTCGCGCGCTGTCAACCGCGAGGCGAGGCATTTACGTTATGGTGCGGATAAGTGTGCGTTGCAGTATGGACTTTCATACAAAGAATACTGACCGCCTGGAGTTGATACGGTTAGGGTCCCTTTCCAGGTTGATAAGTGTGCTACGTCCATTATTAGTCAGGATGACGGCTAACAGAATCGTTCTACATAGGAATTGAATCTAGAACCTCCGATTCCAGAGAGTCAAACTACCTATCTAGGCATGGTGATAAAAACACCCTCTCTCTATTTTTCCAGATACCAAATGTAGAAGGAAAAGCCGGCATGGCAGCTATCGCAGACCCAGAAAACAAAGTAGACCTTGCATCCTTAGCTAAAGGTCTAAAATCGTCTCTCCCAGCATACGCTAGGCCTCTCTTCGTCAGAATAATGCCGGAACCTCCCTTGACAGTGACATTTAAACTGAAGAAGAAGGAACTAATGGAGCAAGGATTTGCAATAAACACACATAAGGACCCTTTATATTTCCTAGACCAAAAGACTTGGGAGTATGTTCCTTTAACCCCTAAATTGTATGACGAGATAGTCCAGGGTATAATTAGACTGTGATGGATATAGAATAAAGTTAAGCCCGATTTTCGCCAAGGCGGAGCCTAGCAGAGCGTAGAAGTGTTTTAAATCAGGGATGTTAAGGATATGAAGTTTCAGTTATATGTATAGGGTTATGGATATTAGAATAATCTTATACCGGTTTCGGTTAAGTACGGTTACAGATATGAAATCATTTCGGATTATCCGAAAGTTTCGGATAATTTAGGTTACGGTTAAATTAGAATTTTTAAAAGGTAAAATTCAAATAGCAAATAGCAAGATGCGCGAATCACATAGCCACAACAAACAGGCGGAGATATTAGATGATGCCCGGGAATGCCAGATAATAACAAATATTTAAAAATATTAAGATTTAGATTCCGCCTTTATCCGAAACTTTTGAATCGGTTACCGTTACGGATATCCGATAGTTTCGGTTATGGTTACGGATATCCATAACATCCCTGTTTTAAATAACCAATTAGATTTTATTATTTCCATTTCTCCGCTCTACTCCGCTCCGCTCTGCTTTGGTGATAACTTTAAAAAAAAACCGACTTCAAATGCGTGAACACAAAAAAAAAAAATTAAAAAATTTTGATAATACCTATTCAACAAAAAAATAATCGTTCAAATTGATTTATAATCGGCGGAGATATTGCGTATAAAAAAGTTCATCCCCAATTTTCCACCCTTGGGGGTTGTTTTTACTATTATTAAATTTAAATGGGACAACCCCTGAGGTATTATTACCTATACGCCTAAAAAAGATTTGTTCAAATCGGTTCATAATTGGCGGAGTTATCGCGTAACAAACATAGAAAAAAAACATACGGGTCGAATTGAGAACCTCCTCCTTTTTTGAAGTCGGTTGAAAACCGGGTCTTAGTAGTTAGAACTTTTTTGTATGATGGCAAAGAAGATCGTTTGCTCAAAAAGTTTTACGCTGAGTGGCACCACCTACCTTTGACCGTAATTTAACGGTAACCGGAGTATTTTGTGTGGAGCTTGACAGATTTTTGACGTTTGTTAAAGTCAAAGTAAGATGGTGCAACCCAGACTTAGAGTGATTTAAAAGTGCCAGAAACAAAATTATAGAAAAAGATGAAGTATGAAGGAGTTAGAAAAAAGACAAGTGTGCTTCCATGTACCCGCAACAGTCTTAACTGCCCATTGCCAGTCATGTCATCTCGTTCTATCGCAAAGAATCACCATTTGATAAGAGCGAGAGCAAAAACGGAAATGGATAATTAACAGTGTGGCCATGTGTACGTACGACCACGACAGATTGTACATTTGTACAGCGCCCCTAGCGGTTACGTTCAAAAACTAAAATCTTCTTAGATTTTTTGACGCATTCGCTAGCGAACACAATAACGTAAACTCATGGTAAGCACAAAGATTGGTTTGAATTCATATAGGGCCATTTAACTCTGCTGCCATCAGTATGTAAGTATTGTACTCGTAGTGTTTTTGTACATCCTTTATTTAATGAGGGTGTTCGCGATTAAAAAATCCGCCAGATGGCAATACGTAGACGGGAGGTCCAAATGCTGCATGATTGGTGGATTTTGACATCTGTCAATGTCATGTCAAAATCCACCAATCTTGCAGCATTTGGACCTCCCGTCTACGTATTGCCATCAGGCGGATTTTTCAATCGCGAAAACCCTAATTGAAATGGCGTGTTTTAATTTGTTAAACAGCTCAGTGTAGACGCAGTTAATTGCTGTAATTTGTTGAATTGTTAATCGACTAGTTTGCTTGTTACTAAATTGTTAAAATAAATATAAGTACCACCACACCCACAAGGTAGACCGACGACCTGATAAAGGTAGCAAGAAGGCGCTGGATGCAGGCCGCTACCAACCGTGCGATGTGGAAGTCATTGAGGGAGGCCTTTGTTCAGCAGTGGACGTCCTATGGCTGAAATGATGATGATAATGATGATGAAATATATGTATCACTAGTAAAATACCACTTATATGAACTAATCGTATTTAAAAGTTGGCTAAGGACTTTTAAATTACTAATAAAACAATAGTAGTAAAATAAACATAAAAAAATTTAAAATATGGTCAGGATTTTAAATTAACTTAGGGCTGATTTTTCAATCGTCAAATAACTTTAACTGAAGAATATGTTTGGCACATTGACAGTTTCAGTATGGGAAATATGTCAAAATGACAAGTTTATTCTTCAGTTATAAGATGAAAAATCAGCCCTTAGTAAAATAAAACTAAACTTGATTGAAGTAAAAACATGCTCAAAATCTAGATCAAATTAAGAACAATCAAGCTATCGTACAAATAAGTTGTAAGGGTGATGTTACACTAGCGAAATAAATATTTTTGGACTACTAAATGTAACATGGTTTTCAGAAAACCATTCAATAGCCCAGTGATTTCATTTAATGGTTTACTTTTGATGTAAATCGCCAGTGTGGTAGAGCCTTTATTTATTTAACTTAGGATCTGATAAGTATTTATGTAAATAATAATTATTATAACATTTAACAATTATACGTTTCTCCAAAATCATGGTGAGGCCTTTAAAATGTGATATTTAACTCGAATTTTATTTATTATGTTATTATTGCAAATAAATTTATAAAGGTGAAAATTATTTTTCCTTAGGCTAGAATTCCCTTGTGCTGATTTTTCTTTTAATATGTAAAAACAATATTTTTCATAGGATTTCAACCTTATCCCATCAACGGCCGGTTCACACATGTCTCCGTTTTACTGTTCCGTTTTATCGTGTACGTTTTTTCTCGTCGATGTATGTATGTATTACTGTATACAGAATACTGTGTCATGTGTGAAGTCGCTCATACAACTACATACGCCATCGACGAAAAAAAACGTACACGATAAAACGGAACAGTAAAACGTGGTGGGAACACACGCGTGGACGCGTCCAACTACATCGGCCTTGCGCCGAGAACTCTGAACTGTAAAGTTGAAAATACATTGGCAAGCCACTTACAAGTTAAAAATTAATTTCATGTTTTGTGTTATTATAAAAAGAAACCAAAGGATACACATTTAAAGCTCTTTATTCATCCATACAAAACAACAAATCGCATCCAACCAACGGATCTATATCAAAATTTGGCTAAAATCTTTTCGACCTAGATCTAGTTTGTACACATCACTTCATTTGTGCAACTTTAGCCTAAAATTAAATATTTATAAGGCCCGATTCGACCAAACTTTTATCCGAGAATAACTCCTGGTATAACATTGACATTGAAACTGTCAATGTCAGTATGGGAAATATGTCAAAATGGCGAATAACTGACGATTAATTCTGAGATTAATATTTACTCTTGTTTGGTCGAATCCACCCTTAATATTACATACTATTATAGGAGAATTTGAGAGAAGATGGACTGCAATGTATTACGTAGCTATGAAAAGTTGGACCAAAAAATATTTGACGGTATACGCACAAAAACTAAATAATAATTACGTTACAATGACAAATGAAAAAACACGTAGAAGGTTCATAATTTTGAAAATAATTGATGAGATAAACTGTAAAGAATAAATTTTAAATTGCTGCTATGAAAAGAAAAGTTGGACTAGACAAACTTTTACGTTATAGAGTCACATAAATGAATTATGCACAAAATAAATAATGATACAATGACCAAAGAAAACACACGGTACATATTTCCATTGCAATCACGTTGAGTGCCACAAGTCTCAATAATTTAAGGACCCTTCATGCATGACGTAATGGAAGAAAACATAACTTCAATGAAAATAGGAAAATAAAATATCAAACAAATTGAAAATCCACTTCAACAATCAACTTTGTATTTATCTGTCGAAAGTGCAAAAGTACATATTTACTTTATAGCGTTAGGGCTAGCGCGCACGGGCGACTTTTGTCGCTGTGACTTATGAAGCAAAAATCTTGTCATTACTGTAAAATCTTACGTCACTACTGTCAAAATGTTGGTAGAAATGTTAAAATTTTTATCCACTTTTAGCTTAATACAATGTTATTATTTGTTATTTAATAAGACATTTTAACTAAACAAAAAAGTGTCAAGGTCCAAGTGGACCAGAATAGTCCACTATAAGTTGCCTCACTTGTCGTGCGCTTATCTATCTAGGCTTTTCTATGTATACTATGGAGGTCCGTGCATGTAGCGACGTGACAGTGACATAAATTACTTTTCTACATTCTCCCTCCATACGTTTATATGGAGGTGATAAAAAAGTCACAGTGACAAAAGTCACCGTGTGCGCGAGCCCTTACTTTATAAAATTTGAGAAAACTAGGTACATACCTAGGTTAAGCAAAGAGTTGCACTGTATTCTGAATGCTCTCTTTATTTGTAGAGATCTCAGCTACACATTTAATATTTACAAACTAAAAACGTTTACCTTACCAATGTCTTTTGCATTAAAACTTACGTTAAACGAACACATTTTCTTTTGGCAGTAGCCCAATCTCGGATCTCATCTAATTGTGATCAATATTAAGTGTTCCTTGAAGCGCACCCATTTTCAAGCACTCCTAAATTATTAGCGCACTAAGTCATATGCGCACCATGATTTTCAGGTGCGCACCATCGACGAGCATTGAAGCGACACCCCACAGGTAGTGAGGCGGGTCGTTACATTCCCTCTAATATGGTCGAGTGAAGCGATGGCTGGTTCACTCGTCATGTCTGTGAACAGGCGCTGCTTTCGGGGACTGGTCAATCCAAGTTATTCAAATTTATGTATGCGAGTCATTTCTACTAGTATCTTAATATGTAAGTCTAGATATTAGCACGTCACTACCTTGTTTAATATACCACGCAATCTTGTATACCCATTCTTATAAGATACACCATACAAGAATGCATGGTAAATTCAGTGAACTGCTCCTGAATCGAATGTACCTACTACTACTATTTCTATTTATTTATATTAACCGGCAGACAGTGGTGACTGAGTTTGTTGCGGCGCTTCTTCTCAGCACTTGCCAAATGTTGGTCTCGAAGCGCTGGTAGGGTAAAAAGATTATGAGACATGTAGAGGCTCCTTAAGAGCAAAATGACGATTCGTTCGTTCGTTCGTTTCAGCCGAAAGACGTCCACTGCTGGACAAAGGCCTCCCCCAAGGATTTCCACAAAGACCGGTCCTGCGCCGCTTGCATCCAGGTACTTCCCGCGACCTTCACCAGATCGTCGGTCCACCTAGTGGGAGGCCTGCCCACGCTACGTCTTCCAGCTCGTGGTCGCCACTCAAGAACTTTCCTGCCCCAGCGGCCGTCAGCTCTTCGAGCTATGTGCCCCGCCCGCCCTGGAAGATGTTTTCAAGCTTCTGGACTGGAGCGGATTCGGCATAAATATCAACGGCGAGTATATCACCCACCTTCGTTTCGCGGACGATATCGTAGTCATGGCTGAGACCGTGGAGGACCTAAACACAAATGACGATTAGTAAGAACTATTTATTAGTCCAAACAAATAAAGAAATTTTGACTTTGACACAATACGCCCTTATGTATTTAGTGCAAATAAAAGGTGCGCTTCATTTAGGTGCCCTTGAAAAAGGGTGCGCTTCAAAGAGTATACCATTTTTCCATTTTTGAACTGATCCATAAAGATTTGTCAAAAATGGAAAAATAATATGATACCTAAACATACAATTTTATATTAATTTTTATTTCACTATAATTTTGGTGCATAATTGCGAGTTTACATTCAATTCCATACATAATTGATATTATTTATTCTTACCTATTTCTATAACACTTGCAATTTTTTGAGTTGCCTATAACTATACATAATAGGTACATACACGTTTTCATTTGCTTAACAACTATTACAAATATGTCACAAAATAATAATATTCTTTACCTATCTATTTTATTCTATTTGACAGAGTGACTATGTAACTATTAATAAAAATGAAGTATATTCAACGATTTTTTGAAGATAATTGTTTAATAAAATGATAACCATTAAAAACTCCAGTGATTTATGGAAAAAAACAAGCTCAACAGTGATCAACTTCACACTCTATCTCTTTCATTGTATTGTGCTCGTCTTCTACTTATTGAGCATGCTCAAGTTAAAAAAAAACTCAATTCAGATTTGTTTTTTTTTTAACTTGAGCATAATTAAATAGATAATCTTCAAATTAAAAGTTTTGTTCAGGGTTGACCATTAATTAATTTGCTGCACTATTTTTTATATTTTTCAACATCTGTAATAACTACATCTACCCATTAAAAGTACTGTATAAAATATTGATAAATACGTGATTAAAAATATATGTAATTCACCATCGAACAATAAATAAAGCTCAGATTACATGCATGTGTACCAAAGTATAAATACAATTAAATCTAACTTTGGATTGATTTGAAGATTGAAAAAAGTAATAAAAAGCTTGTAATAAAACTTAAATTGAAAGACACAGCAGCAATTCTGCTTGTGACCACGGCTGCAGCATTGAACAGCCCAAAGTCAAACCGTGAGTACATAATGTAACTCAGTCATAAATGTCGCGTTAAAACCCGTGTCTTTCTATAGTCCAAATGGAACGCGAAAGGTAAAATCTTATAATGATTTGAAGATAATTTTGCATGCATGTAGCCTGAGCCTTATTTTACCTCTGCATTTAAATTGGTTTAGGAAATATGACCACGACTTACGACATGACGTATCCTTTTTAGGAACTTCTCTCCAAGTTACGGAACAAAGAACGATCTGGTTGTGTTCTTACAATCAGTCAACAGATGGCGTTACTCTCTAGATATGAATCCTGCATTCTCGGAAACTCGTGTCATTGACCCCAACAGCTGATTTCAACCTCTTTTCACAGACAAATCAGTGCCAAAACCCTTGAAGGTCTCTGTCATCGTCTATTCTTCTTCTTCTTCAAAACAATCCATGGTCCTTCCAGCTCCTCGTCTATCTGTTCCTGACTTTTTCCTTTAGTTTCAGGTATAAATAGTAGAGTGTACAAAGAGCCTAGTAGAGTGACGCCAGCGCCGATATAGTAGGTACTGTGGAGTCCGAGAGAGACGGCAATAGTCCCGTAGTAGCGAAGAAGGAGAAAGCTGCTGAGCCACATCCAAGAGATGATGAAACTGGACGCGAGGCTTCGAACCTGGGACATACAAATACCCATAAATGAATTATTTGAAAACTAATATGATTAAACATAAATAGAAATAGTTCGTTTCAGCCGAAAGACGTCCACTGCTGGACAAAGGCCTTTGGCCAAGGTTTTCCTTAAAGACTGGTCCTGCGCCGCCCGCATCCAGGCACCTCCCGCGACCTTCATCAGACCGTCGGTCCACCTAGTGGAAGGCCTGCCCACACTTCAAATAGTAACTAATGGCAATGGCAAATGAACAATTTTCAAGCGGAAAAAGAAACAAATAAACCAATTAATTGGTCTTAAAAAGGTTTACTTACATTTATAGAAAACAGCTCCGAAATCAGTACATACGGCACAGATCCTAACCCTATATTGTAAAGGAAGAGCACCACTGATAACAGTAATATTGGGGCCATCATCGTTTCGTCTTCACTTGCTTTTACTTCATCATTCTCTTTCTTGCCCCATAAGACACCACCATGACTAGAATTGTGTGTGTCTTCACCGATTCTATGCCAAGATTTCTCAGACTCTGTAGTATTCATTATTAAATTATTAGTAACGTTATCATTGACGTAAGCAGTCAAGTTTTGAGGTATTTCTATGTGTTTGCCCCTGATATGGTCGATAGGGCTTCTTCTGTAAGGCCACAGGCGGTGGGGGTACCAGGAGTACATGCGAAGCCGAGGGTCGCAGTATACTCCGAGGATGGCGAGACAGCAGGCAATGCCGGAGCAGGACCAGAGTAAAAGCATCTGGAAGAAATAAAATAAATTCTTATGTCATGAAACATACGGAGAAGATCCATGAATGAAGAAGAACATAAAAATCTCTGTGAATTTTTTAATGAGGACAGTTTTGAAAAATATGGTTGCTGTAATTGCTTGGTTAGAATCTAGATTCCTAATAATTACTCCTGCATCAAATATTATATCACAACAATTAAAAAAGATGTAGCCAGGAAGTCAAAGAGGAATTTTCCAGTGAGTATTCGACACACGACAAAATTAATGTAGACAAGCATTGTAGTGTTTCGGCAGTTACGAGGTAAGACAGCCAGTTCCTCTGTGGTTGAGGTTTCCGAGTGAAGCTCGGTTCCACCTTCGGTGTGATCATCACTTTCTATCAGGTGAGATGACGTATGCCTCGGCATCTCTTTGGGGATAAAAAATATTCAGTTGCTTTTCTATTACAATTATATTTTGACTTACTTTTCTCCCAAGCTTGTCGACTGTGATAGTAGCCACAGCGGCTCCCAAAACCAGTGCTGCTCCGCACAGCATAGATCCAGCCTCAGATGCATCCAATAAGGGACGGGGCACAGTTCTGTAACCAAAGTCTAGTTATTGATAATGGTGATCTTAACAAAACAATTAGATTAAATCTTGCATGTTGGGTCTTATAAAAATATTCGTTCCCATCGCTGCATCACAAATTGTGTCCAGTAGGCCTAAGATGCGCGCTGCGATAAGCGGCTATCACGCCATTTTATCGATTTTTCCCATACATTTTGACGTCGATAAAAGTTATCACGGTGCGCATCTGGAGCTTTATGACTCTTAATTAAAAACCAAATGAAGGCTCGGGAAAAGTTAGAAGGACGGACTACTACAGGAGATTTCTATAACGACCGGCCCTGCGCTGCCAGCATCCAAGCGATTCCCGCAACCTTCACTAGACCGGCCGTCCATCTAGTGGAAGACCCATGGTCGCCATTCGAGAACTTTTCTATCTACGAGTTATGTAAATTACTTATTTGTTGATGCTAAAACTCACCCGTTGTAGATAGTAAAGTTGTATGCAGTAAGGTTGAGCCGCGGCACCGTGTGTGCTGTGTGCCGCAACACAGCTGCCGCAAAGCTGTTGACGGCACCCGCACCGCTACCGGCCGCCGCCATCACTAACACCATGCATGAGCAGAGGGCGCGGCGTGGGACTCGGTGACGGACTGATGGAAATAGATACATACGTACTCTTTAAGTCTTTATTGCACACCACTTATTATATAATAGATAATATTATAAAAGAAACACGAACTTAAACCATCAAACGGCCATTAAATCCCATAGCAGACTTATCAACTCGGAAAGGGATAACACCGTATCGCCTTTCGCGAGATGTCAATCGCGAGGCGAGGCCTTTAAGTTACGGTGCGGATAAGTGTGCTTTGTAGTATGGAGTTTCATACAAAGAATACTGACCGCCTCGAATTGATACGGTTACGATCCCTTTCCGAGTTGATAAATGTGCGACGTCTCTGTAAGTAGGTCTTATAGCTACAACAAATTATGATGAACTAATAGATTGGAAAATAGGCAAGGAGTTCATTGCCAAACTTACACAACTTCCTGCAAGCCGACTGCTCTGCCTTCTTATCACAATTGGAGTCTAACCCACTGCTCCTCTTCAGCATCGGCTGAAACGTATCAGAATCCTGCCTCCTCATCGCCTCCCGTCTTCCGTAGCAGTCTGAAGTTCTGATCTTGACTTCTTGCTGCTCGATGACGTCAGTCAAATCTTCCCTGAAGTCGGAGCCGTCGAACCAGCATATCACCTTTGCCGCGTCCTGGAATATTAGAAGTAGCATGTTCTTCTGCATCGTCTATTGTACAGGTTATAATGGGGTCACAACTAGGTACTGCTAGATTTTATGAACTGCCATTATTGGCATCTAGTATGTCTCAATAGCACAACAAGGTTTTGGTTCCATCAATTTCATGCTATGTTATAACCATATTTTGCACTGTGTGTTCCTGTGTCCAGAACCTCTGAGACGTAGGATTGTACGTCACGAAACTCTAAGTCAATCCAAAAGCAACTTCTTCTTAACTAAAGTCTCAATATTATCACGTCAGTGTTGAGACCAAGATGTTATACTCAATTCAGATTGCTCAGAACTTTTCAGACAATTTATTCTTTTCAGACAATAGCTTTTTCCAAATCTGCAAATAATTCTTATCAAAGTAATCTGGGGGCACGGCAGTGCCCCCGCCAAGTCGAGCGCGAAGCAAACACTGCCGTACCATCCTTTACTGGAACCATTTCGCCGCATTTTCAGGCCCCTATTTGAGAACCTCTGGATAAGACCAGAACGCAGAAATTTTCGTCATCTAGTAAGCTATAATCACATACTTAAAATCCAAAATTTCAAGTCTGTAGGTCATTTAGTTCCGAAGTTAAGCGAAAGCAAAGTTTCGCATTTATGACACTCACTCACTCACTGATGATCATCAAAATAGAACTAGTACTTCCCATAAACTCAGAGAGCTGAAATTTGGTACAGAGTTAGGGTTTAATGGCCACATAAAGGGAAAACTATAAAAACTAGGAAAATCGAAGATCTGGAGTAACACCACATTCATAATAATCAATACTACTAGCGCCACACCGGCGCCGTGGTGTTCGCCTGTACCGCTCACCGCTAGATGGCGCTAGCACTTTGAGCGTCGATTTTCTGCACCGCGGTGTCCAGATTTTTTTTCCTTTCTAGACCCCCCCGTCGATTAAATTGAATGTTGTGTAATTTTAATTTGGTTGATTTCGTTTATTATATCGTGACTCCGTGAGGTTCGCTAAGGTTAAGTTATTATTAAAACAATTCTGATTCGTTGTCCATTTTAAAGGTCGCTATGTTTAATATCGTAAAAAAAAATGTCGATAATATTAAAGGACGACGACGTTAAATAATTATGCCACTTTCTACAAAAAGAAGTGAAATCCCACCAAAAACATTCTGTAAAAAACTAGCCAAGTCTCGATGGAGGCGCTGCTTGTTTATCTCTAAAAAGTAATGAAATCTAGACAAAGTCGTGCCAAGTCTATGGTTCCTTACTGCGATTTCTTTATTATTATAGTTAATTTTGTGTGACTTGGCCGTTAAACAATCTTTATTAAGATAATCATTATTGAAATACGCTCAACGTTTTCCAAGTGGCAATTTATTTTCCATCGTCAATGGACCAGAACCGCTCTGGTGACAGATTGGTGCAATGGTGTCATGGAGCACCTGGTTTTGTACCCTTCAACGGCCAAGTCACACAACATTAACTATAATAATAAAGAAATCGCAGTAAGGAACCATAGACTTGGCACGACTTTGTCTAGATTTCATTACTTTTTAGAGATAAACAAGCAGCGCCTCCATCGAGACTTGGCTAGTTTTTTACAGAATGTTTTTGGTGGGATAACAATTTACAACAAATGATTTTTCAATTTGCAGAATGAGATCTGGGAATATAATCTAGACCCCAGATCAAAAGAGCCTGTCTCTCTTCCCACTGCGCCATAGAGACAAAAACCAACTCTACTACCATTAAAAACTTAAAATGTCTACCTGTATCCTCCCAACACTGATGAGGAACGAAGGAGTCTCCGGTAACCATAGCAACGAGACTAGCAACACGCTAGGCGGCGCCGCCATAGACAGAGACAGCGCGTGCGCAGAGAGCATACCGCCCGCGGCGTATGCGAAGAGAATGCCGCAACTGGAAATGGAAACGTTTGAATTTTATAATTTAGATAAAGGAAGACACTGAAAGCAGATTGTGGCTAACAAAATGTGGCTATGGATTGGCCATTAACTCCTAGATCTGATGATCAAGTGACGACCATGGACCAGGAGGACATAATATATTATGAACAAGCTCTCTCTCGGTAGACTGATGATGGTTTAATGGTAGAGATTGCGGGAAGCACTTGGGTGCGGGTTGCGCTACCTTGAACTGGTAGTTGTAGAAATCCTTGGGGAGGCCTTCTTCCAGCTGTAATTGAACGAAAGGAAAAAAAAACAATGATGTAAGTTTACCTACTTTTGTTTAGCTACTTGTTTTTAGTATTCGTTTCTTAGCTTTGTGGTTCCCTTCTAACGAGTAAAATCATAATAATTATGCTTTGATCAAATTCTTAAGAAATTCAAATTTTATTAGTCCGCAAATTCGAATTCAAAATATAGTTTATTCAGTACATAGGCATATAGCTTGCCCTACCAACGTTAATAATAATTATGTTGAATAATATTGATGTACAAAAGCGTCATACAACCCTATAATAATGTAGATTGCATCATCTATGTACGTATAAGTACTGTAAGAAAATAAAATTCCTGTTATGTGTTACCATTGGGGTCACTTAATAATTAACTTTTAAAAAAAATAAAACCGACCTCAAAT